TTGGACTTAATGGGTTTTTCATGTTAAAGACCGTGAAAAACTGGACATAGTGGTGTGTTTAATCCAATTCAACCAAAAATGTGACTTAGTGGATTTTCGCTGTACGCCTACGATATATATTTATTTATTCTAACTAGCGTGACGTCATAAATCTCGTTCCGAGGCTGTTCTATTAGTGACGGCATTGCGTCACCATGGCCGCAAGTTGCTAACCTAATAAAATTAACACTAGAAAAGCCCGCGGGAACTGTCAAATTCAAAGTTATTCGTTTCACAGACTATAGTTGTTGTAAGTTTATATTTTACACACAGATATTAACTAGACTAGATATTAGTTGCAATGCTGCAATCCCAATGTCTATTTACAGTTCATAGCAAGTAAACCTTTAGTCACGTGATTAAGCCGGTCAAGCTTAATCACACACAGCGTTGCCCACTTTTATACAGGGTGAGTTTCCTACGATGTTCTCTATGGGTATCTCGGAAACTACTGGAGATAGAGAGTCGGTTAAATGGGGAAAGAATTGCAGTTTTGTGGGGTCATAAATATGCGCCTTTCAGATTTTTGAAAAACTCCAAAGCTTACTAGATATTTCGAAAAAAACAAATTTCGGCTATTTTAAAAATTGTCCCTAACTCCATTATAAGCTATTTTAGACAAAAAGTTTTCAGATAAAAATTGTAGATAATCACATCATTTATGAGACTGTGCCTCCCGTTTTCTTTTAAAGCCTGTCATTTTTGACATATGACACAAACATATGTTATTTTTTAATGGAAACCATAGTTATAAAAAGCGCCATTTTTTAAGCTTTTTAGCGATATAAGCTATAATATGTTTTCTTCGAAAAATTACAGAGTTATAGCCAATTCTTATCATTTTTAAACAATTTCACTTAGTTAGCCATGGAAACAAGTTTAATCGTCTTTGCTCTCATAAATGTGAAGCTGTCACATCCAAACTTTGTAATTTAAAATAAACAAAAATTGTAAATATGAATTTTTAGAGTGGTTCCTCCCCCCCCCCTCCCCCTCATAATGAAAGAAATGTTAAAAATTATTTATATCATAATTATGCAAACTCAGGGATAGAAAGAGGTGGACCAATTGTGTGGGCCTCCTCAATCACCTGACCTATCCATTTTAGATTTTTTTTAGTGGCGGTACGAGAGAAGTTTAATTAAGTCGACCGGTCCTTCTATGAGAATAGGTAGTAATTCAGTTTTAAAAAGATGCAACTCAAAACAATGGCGGATTTTTTGAACATTTTCTAAAATAACTTAAAGTGTATGCAGTGATATTATTTTTGAAGATTTAGTTTGTGTAATGTAAATTGTAAGGAACCGTTTAGTAATATATTCTAACTTTTTATAAGTTTGATAAATCATAATAGAATAAGAATACCATGCAATCCAATTGAAATTAATCAAGAAAGATCAGAATTGGCTATAACTAAATGTAACGGTTAACGTATCCTCGAAAATGTATGGTCAAAAATTTAATTATATGAAATATAGCTTACAATGTCTTTTAGTAGACCCGTTAAAACTTTGACTGTCTTTCTGCCTTTTCTTATTAGTTCAGCCGTGAATTTTGGCGAATGTTCTTCTATGAATTTGTTCGTCTTTCTTCTGATGAGTTTCTCCACTATTCTAGAGATTTATTGACCACCCATCGTCTTTTGACCATTCTCAATTATCTCAATCTCATCTCCTTGTAGATTTACTACCTATAAACAAAACCACAAAAGAAGCTCAAAAAAATTAGCAAAATTTTAAATCAATCTTACAGGTGTCCTGCCCATTGCCATTTCAGGGATTTGACTCTGTGGATGACATCTATTACCTGATGGGCCTTTTGTCGTATCCACTCTATTCTCTTACGGTCTCTCTTAGTTATTGCATTTGTGTTAAAGCATTGTGCGATGTGCAGTTTTCCTACGTCTAGCCTTTAAAGGTGTCTATATTCTGAATTATTCATCAAATTTTCTTCAAATACTCAAACTTTCATAATTTTATTACTATGATTACTATCTTTCTAAGGCATTTTAAACTGTGTAAAAAATAATAGCGAAAAATTATCATTTTCCGGCATTTTTCTATACTATATGTAATAATAATAGCTCCAGTATATAGCGTTTAACGCCTTGGGAGTAGCAAGGTACAGGTTGCTATGCTAGAGCCGTTCGGTATACCAGGAAGGTAATGTGGCTAGCACTACGCTTCAACTGCCTATTATTACCTCAGGATTGTGAATCCCAAGTACTCATTTAAGGCTGAGTCGACCTAGGTACCCAAACTATTTTTATTTTAATAAAAATAGTCGGCTGATGATATGCCGGCTGTAGAATTCGAACCCTCAACCTTGAGATTGGTAGACGAGAGCTGTATACATATATAGCTACGCCACCGGGCACCTTTTCTATGTTATATATTTATATTATAGGATTATTACCTTCTTAATACACGTAGAGTATTTTACTCCTTCATTAATCTTTATATTCAAAGATGTAAACTAACCCAATGTCCAGTCTCTCTCTCGTGTGGCATACTGGACTTGATCAGAGAACACCGCTCTATCTTGTGTTATACGTATATGCATATTAATTTTAACTGTTCACGCTAAAACTTGGAAATTAACACGCGGCCAGCGTGTTAGCGATATCTGACCAACGGCCGGCAACCGCCAATTTGGCCTTTCTCGTTAATTTTGCGATATGCAGACGTCGCTCGTCGGTTTTGTCGTTTTTTATTCGTGATTGTGGATTTTTAACAATCGGATTTAATGCGGGAGTTTGCCAGCTGATTAATACACCAGGCTTGTAGGGAGGAATTGGATATGCCCATTGTGTTTGGAAATTACATAGTCAAGAATCAAAGCATTTGAGAGCTAAAAAGCAGTTGAGATTAAAAAAAATATATTTGAAAATCTTAAGTACAATAAAATTAAGACACGTTCTAGGTAATAAAAGAGCAAACGATCTAATAAGAAAAGGAGCAACTAAAAAATCACAAGATGCATTTCAGAACAAGTAGCAAAATAAGCGTTTGGCATTTAACGTTTTATGGAAAACTGGCTAGATATAACACAAATGAAGAAGGAAATTAAAGGTAAAGGACTATAGTATATCCGTATTGTAGCACTTAGATAACTTCTTTATTTTTAAGATTTTGATGGTCAAACATCAACAAAATATTCCTCACGTTTGGACTAAATTTTCTCGAAAATAAAGACATAATTCAAAATTCCGTTACAATACGGAAATAGATTGAAGTTTTGATATTTCAGTTAAAAATAAATGTTTTGAATAAACAACCACATATTTGTAGGCCGATTCTTTCTACTTCGATTGAAACGAAGTAGTCACACTAGTTATTTCTAAATTTGGGATATTTGCAGAAGTGCATTTTTTGTCAAATGTATAAAAAGCACCTAGCATCAATTGTTCAAATTTAACCTGTACCGGCTATGTTTTTATGATAGCTGGCCAGAATTCATTCAAATAACTCTGTTTAGTATTAAACGTAGACGTTATGGAGCGTAGACATCTTAACAGAGACGAAATGCTAAGGGCCATGGGTATGCTCGAAGCTGGAATGTGCCAAATCGACGTAGCTAGAGCATTAAATACAACGTAAAGTGTAATATCGCGATTAAGTGCACGCTACCATGAAAGTGGTGATGTTGTTGAAAGGCACACAGGGCGACATCGCATTACTACCCCTCAGCAAGATCATTTTTTACAATTGAATGCTCGACGTCGACCAGAGCTACCAGTACAGCACCAGAGCATAGTTTAATTATTCAGGAAACACATAATGTAACCGTTAGTCCTGACACTGTTCGCAATAGATTAAGAGAGGTCAACTTAAGAAGCAGACTCCCCTGGAGAGCTCAACCCTTAACGAGAGGAAATCGAGAGGTACGATATTTGTGGGCTCAAGATCACGTTCAGTGGTCGAATGAACAATGGGCCAATGTTCTTTTCACGGATGAGTCACGCTTTGGAATTCATCCGGATTCGAGAAGGCTTAGGGTATGGAGAGAACCGGGAAATCTTATTCGGCTGGATCATGTTCAGGAAGTGCACCCTTATCAAGATGGAAGAGTTATGGTCTGGGGAGGAGTCCAGTTAGGGCCGAAAAACCGATCTCGTTTTTCTTGAAAGGTTTCTAACCGAAATCATGTGAATCAGACTCTGGCTGTATGAGGCCGTGCATTGTCATGCATGAGAATGAAGTTTCTCCCAAAATCATTGGCATATGGTAACACGACAGGCTCAAGAATTAAATCACGATACATATCGTGATTTAATTCGTACAGCCAGAGTGGTAAGTGAGTTTATCAATGCTCATCAATTAAACATCTTACCCTGGCCGGCACAATCTCCTGACCTCAACCCCATCGAGCACGTATGGGACGCGGTCCAAAGAAGAATTTTGACAATGGGTATGCCTCGTGAAACTCGTAGGGATCTGGTTCGGGCCGTGCATGCAGCGTGGCAGGCTGTACCTCAGGAAGAGATCGACAACCTGATCAGGAGCATGGAGAGACGATGTAGGGTTCTAATGAACAGTAGAGGAGGCCACACACTTTATTAAGTAAAAATGGTTTTATCTTTTTTTTTAATTCACAGTTTAGAATAAAAAAAAAATGTGTGTATTTTTTTGAATTCAATAGATATCAAGGTAAATTTGAAAAATTCGGTAAATTTCGCATTTTTATTTCCAATACGTCCTGTAAACTATTTGTTTATTTTAATTTTATTATATCAGAAATGCAAATAATAAAATTACTGACGATGCACAGTGCTTCGTCCCATGGACAAAAATCGAAAAAAAGTTAAAATTTACTAATATCTAAATATGTAATTTTATACTTATAGCAATGTTCAACCATCCTGTATATTATTTTTCATAAACAGCGTTTTTTGTTAGCAAATATTTTCACTAAAAATAAATTTTGCGATCGTTATCTTATCAGTGAAAAGAATAAAATTCATAGTAGTTCTGTATATTATGGAGTTAAACGGTACGTACTTAATTGAAAGCCACTATGGATATTGTTAAACACAAGGTATGTACTTTAAATTTATTTCTAAACAAGTTCGTGATTGTTTAGTTTTTATTTATTTTTTAAGATGATTCTTAAATGGGTATAAAAATTTTACGTTTTCAAACTTCAAAAAGGCATTTAAAAAAACATATCAAAACATATCGTATTTATTGAATATTTTTGTGCCTGAAAAAGCCCACTATGTTGGAGCGAAACGTCGCATAAAAAAAGTTTCCATCTTTCAATTTATTATAAAACCTCACACCCAAGAAAAGGAAAAAATAATATATGGATATTAAAGAGGTAACTATTAAGATCCGAACCCCTCATACCAACAAAAAGAACAGTAACAACGTGAAAAAGTAACATATTAGAAAATGATGTACAGAAATATCTTATATGTGAGGATACTTCATCTACCTGTGATTTGGATACTATAAATTTGGAAGATTCTGTCAGCAGTGATTCTTCTGAATCATAGTAGTACGATCTATGCATTTTTTTGTCCTAAAGTAAATTGATAGTATCTTAAGTTTTTTTAAATTAAATATAACATTAATATTTATTTTTCATTAAAGAAAAACATTTTTATCTTATATTAGGCTTATATTGTAGGAATCATGTTCTAATGTTATTTCAATTCTTTTTTATCACAGGGATTTATTTAATACTTACACCGTTTTCATACTATACATTATTATTTCCTTAGATGGAACACAGCTCCAACATTTTTATTCAAAAACGTGGGACTAAGAACATCATCATTTAGTACAATAGAGTACTCATCATTTGTGTCAAATAAACCTAGTTTGAATAAATTGCCTGCAATAAAAGAGTCCTCTAGAGCCATATGTTCGAAGCACTGTGCGATGGCTGGATAAAATTGTAATATCCCTAGACTTTTCCGGTGTGTGTGTATTCCCTTCGGCCCCAGATCCGCACCCGACCCCTGAGAGCAACCCGAAAGTACAGCGTAATATACTCTTAAATAATAATAAAAAAAAAAAGTTTCTGGCGTGTCGTCGATCGTGCAAACTGCTAATAGCGATCATGTTAACTGTCTTCGATCCTATAACAAGACGCTGGCATAAATTTCAAGACGTTATTCTCAGTTATCGGTAAATATTCGACCACCACTTTACGCCTGGGGTCTATACTCTTAATACGCTCGCGTATGCGAAGATATTTATATGTGGAGGGCATGCAGAAAATTGCCATCTTCATAAAGAACGACTTCTTGTTGCTCTCGGAGATCGCCGTGCGTCCGCGAATATATACATATGTATGCGCTGGGCTATAGAAACCGAGGATAGGCTTCTTGTATTTTATTTATTGGCACTAGATAAGACAAAGATGTCGCTTCAGTTTTGATTATATTTTCAATGTACGTATATTTAAAAGTGTGTAGAGTTACGTAAATACAATATATTAAAATTTTCATGTCTTTTATAATTCAATATATCGTCGGTTTACAATCAAATCACACTAAGTCCAATTATTTTAATTTTGATTTATTTATACCGGGTGTTGCATCGTCGGACTGGACATAGGAAATCCCATGTAAATTTTAATGGGGTCAATTATTGGCTTCCCTAATTATTTTAGAGAATAATTCTATTTAGGTTTATTGAAGAGCACTAAAACCCACATTCAAAAGAATAACGTTAGATATTTTTGATTAGCTCGTTTACGAGTTTTCGCCGATTTCTTTTAAAATATTTCTCCTTTCTTATGGCCCTGTATTTACTTATGAGCACCAGTCAAGGTAAAAGATAACTGTCAAATGAAGTTGTCATTTCAGAAATTTACCTATTTAGTGCTTTATTATTATTATTGAAAACTCGTTTCTACATCGGAAATCCTAAAGATGTATTTATAAAGACAAATTAATATGAATTAAAGTAAAATAAAATAATCAATTACAAGGTTAATTATAGTATTATTACAATATTCAATAACTTATTAATTTAGGTACTATTAAATTGTTAGAAATTTAGGATTTAAGAAGATGTTCAAATATTCCTCTATCGACTGCTAGACAATAACCCAGGCGATCATAAAATTCTCTTCTTACATTCGCTAGTTGGTAAACTGAAATTCTATTTCATTTGGCAGAAATAGCATTTTTTAACTCGTCTAGATTTGAGTATTTTTTATCCTTGTATATCCTGTTTTTTAAATGGCTTCAGAGAAATAAATCATTTGGCGAAATATCAGGAGACCTTGCTGGCCAATTTACTGTATGATTTAGGCCACTGTATGATTTAGGCCTAAAACTATTGTCTAAATATTCCCGTACAGCCAGGGTAATATGTGCCGGGCAGCCATCCATTTGGTACCAAACTTCCTGGTTTTCCCTAGCGGCATCATGTAAAGCAGGTAAAATATGATTTTCGAGTAGTTCCAAATAATATTCTGCATTTAAACTTCGCGTAAGAAATAATGGCCCGATAATATTGTGACCGAATATCCCTGCCCAAACATTTACTTTCTGTGGATATCGCGTCCTTGTTTCGACAAACCTGTGTTGGTTTTCTTTGTTCCAATATCGATAATTTTGAACATTGGGTTCATTATTTAAGGTAAACGTGCATTCGTCAGTGAAACATATGTTTTTTAAAAATTTCCTATCCGTGTTTGCTGTCTCCATCATATCAAAACAAAACGCCTGCCGTCGTATTTCGTCCCCATCTCGTAACTTTTGGTGCTTTTCATATTTGAAGTAATAGTATTTATGTCGTTTCAAAATTCGAAACGCTGCAGTGTGATCTATTCCTATTTCGTCCCCAAGTTTCTTTGTGCTGATCTTTCCATCGTTCTCTTCCACGCACAATAAAACTTCCAAGTCGGTATACAGCAAAAACCACATCTTGATATCTTCTTTCAAACCGAAGATATTAGCAAAATTATAATAAATACCAAAAAATAAGCTCTGAATTACCTTATTTTTACAATACGGTATCCGTAGCCCTCTTGATTATGCCCATTCTAACAAAAAATAAGATAAAAACAGTTAGTTGATTTTAAAATCGACGAAAGACCAGAATACCATAATACCAGATGTATTAATATCTAATAATTAAGATATTAATAACAGTGAACAAGAAACGATAATTCAAATTTTGAAAAAGCAGTCAAAAGATAAAAACGCTGCTAGACTATCAAAATGTTGATCTAATAACAATTTGGCGTTTATACTATTACGTCAAAAGCAACTTTTTTCCAAAGCACACTGTTATTAATATCATAATTATTAGATATTAATACATCTGGTATTATGGTATTCTGGTATTTCGTCGATTTTAAAATAAACTAACTGTTTCTATCTAATTTTTTTGTTAGAATGGGCATAAAGAAGAGGACTACTACTGATACCGTGTTGTAAAAATAAGGTAGGTAATTAAAGGCTTATTTTTACAATTTTGGGACAACAGAAGAATTAAATTAGCAAGAACGCAAAAGCCTATCTATATGTTTATATCAGTCTATAAATTCAAAAAAAAAAACACAAAATTTAGAACATTTGCCAAACTAATCTCGTAGTAAACTTAAACATTTTCAATAACAATAGGACAAAAGACCAAATTAACCTCAAACAAATAAAGAATTATCTTGAACATGGCATCAGCCACCGCACTCTATATCTCTGGGAGAAATAATGAGCGTTCTACTACGTCCACCCTGTATATTATCTTTATTAATATAGCGCTAATAGATTTCGTTTGCAGCGCTCGGGAAAAATATATGTGGCAGTTCGTTTAGCTCTCCCGCTAATTATCGGATAATTCAACGCTATTAAGAACATTGAGCTGCTAATTGGGAGCATATCTTTGGCCGATGATCGCGCTTAAAACAAGCAGGAATCCATAAAAGTACGAGGGGGATAATTGATATTAATTATTGGCAATTTGCCGAGATTGTTCTGTTGAGGTATCGCGTGGCGAGAGCCTGATATGTTTATAACTCGCATTATATAAACGTAATTAAGTTATTATATAATTTTCAAGAATATACGAACAGTTTCAGATTACGTGTTTTTTATTTATTTATTTATTTACTAGCGTGTACCCGCGACTTCGTTCCCGTCGAATTATCATGATTACTCAATGGTCATATTTTATGAAACACCCTGTATATATTTTTAAAAAATCTTAAAATATGTAAAAAAACAAAATAAAATATACGTGTTTAAGCGTTTTTTCGGAAACTTGCTACCCATTAAAAAACTTGCACACGTTTATTTCTGGGACACCCTGTATAGTCAGTTATAGTATGTCCTCTTGGCCACTAAACATAAGATTCTTGCTTTTCGACGATGATACAGGGGAGGGAGGGGTCAAAAGTGTTGTAAGTTGCTTTGAGAAAAGAATAGTACGGCTACCGACTTGGCATAAAATTTATTTAATTACATTTTATTCGTCCTGTATAATAATTGCTGCTGTCTCATTATTTAGAAAACACCTTGTATACTTTTATATATATCTCAATTCCCACGAGTTTAAACAGTTATTAAGAAAACAAGAATAAGCAAAACTTTTCCTTTTCTTTAACCACCATAATAACACGCGATTATTTTTAATAAAACGTTCTCCATCTCAGATACATCCTCTTTCAATCATCAATAATACTCTTTCCGTTCATAATATATATAAAAACATTTTTTTCCAACTCTAAGTACTCGTTACAGGGTACCTATCGCCTGTGTAAGATTGATTCAGTATCCTGTCAGGTGCTTTTCGAGATATACTCTTTATTTCACGCCGTATTATATTAATATTACTAATTACAAGACGTTTTACTAATAATTGTGACTATTTTTAGTGTTTCGATCTTGGAAAACTGCTTTTTAATTAAAGGAAACCACCTATTTGAATTAAGGAACATTAAACATATCCCAGCGAGTTCACTATTTCGTCAATAAGGCTTTCAACGTTCTGACCTTATGCAACCCAATAAACACAAAAAATTTAGAGCGCTTAAAGTGTGCTTTGAAATCACTGCCAGATTTTTATGACAGATTCAGTTTATTTAATTTTTTGCTTAATTACAGGTATGTTTTCGTAGTAATAGGGTTTAAAAAACTTTATTTTTTGTATGGATTTAATAATTTCCAGGTAAGTTTTCATTAAAAATGCCGTAGAAAACTATTTAAGCACAGTTTTAGGTATATATTAAGCGAAAATGAATTCAAATAATACAAACAGATTAAGTGAGTTTCTCGATAATTATTTTGAAGGTAGTGAACATAAGTTGAATTTAAGCAAACAATTGTCATTTTCAAATAGCAGCGTTCCTGAGAATAAGAAAAGTAATGCAGGTATGATGTATACACAGTGTCTCAATAATATTTTAATAAAAAAATACGTTTTAGAGAGTTCAGAAAGGAATAAAGCATGTAGTGAAAATCAATCCTCATCTGTAGATATTAAAAATTATACAGGTATAGTATTTATCTATAGAGTGTCTCAATAAAATGATTAAACGTTTTATTAACATTTTAGAAAGTTCTGAGAAAAATAAATCATCAGATTTGTTAAAAGGGATTGAAATTATTAGAGATGGTTTCAAGGAAAAGGATTTATTAAAAGGGCTAGAAATAACCAAAGAAGGGTTGCACAGAAAGGAACACATTAGCCACAAAAACACCAGTTTTGAGAAATATTTTGCCAATTTTGAAGGTAGTTTAAAAAAGGGTAAGTACAAAGTTCTATATTTAAAATAATCATTTTTTTGGAAATATATCGGGTATACAAGATTCTAATCCCACCGTTGGGATCTCAAAGGCAGTAATAAATACAGAGTGGCTCAAATTAGGACGAAGTTACGTGTCAATTTTTTTGTGTTTTTATTTTTATATGAGTTTAGTTTAATATTAGAAATAAGAATTATCATTGGGCTTATCGCCAGGCACCTTCGCCTTAATTTGACCCACTTGCTTGTATCATACGGTATTTAGTGCACTGCATAGTTGGGTTCCAATAGACAATTTTATATTTTATAATTTTATTTAATTTTAGTTAAGTTGTGCAGCCAAAATAAAATATCAAAAAAGTCAAATAGCAAACAAACAAATAGTTTAGATAGATATTTCAAGAAGAAAAAGATTATAGATCATAAACAGAAAGTTTTAAGTTTTAAAAATAACACACAAGTAAAGTCTAAACAATATTTTGATTTTAAAAATGTTAGAAATAATTCTGAAAGTCATTTTGGACTAACGGGAATAAAAAATGAGCCACTGGGTGACATTAGATTTAATACGAAAGAAAATATAATCATAAACACGCAAAATAAGATAGATAACACAAAAAGCAACAAAAATATAAGGGAAAATATTTTTAATAAAAAGTCTATAGATCAGAACAGAAAAATTTCTGAAAATATAAATAGTGAGATCGTTTTTTCAAGTAGATCTTCTATTTTTGAAGATAATAAAAATAAAACAAATGTAAAAATGAGGGAAGAACAGGATAAATCATATAGTAACTCATTTCTTGAAGTACTTCAAGCCAGACAAATAGGGCGTTATAAAAATATAAATACTAATAAAGAAAATGAAGAAAAAACTATATTATTTAATAAAGAACCTATTTTTATGAATACAGAAACTGATAATTCAGAAACATTTTTAAAGTCGATTAAAAACATTGACTCTGTTATCACCAACCTTAAATCAAACCAAACAAAAAAATTGGATGCAGACAGTCAAAACATATACAGAAAAAATGTTGTTCAATCAGAAAAAATATTGAGTCACACACAAAGTTTTTTGAAAGAAACGAAAAATGATGATGCATCTAATAGTAGTTCTTCTAAGATTGTAAAGAATATTGGTTTTGATACGAATATTAGCAGTAAAATTGAAAATATGGAAGATAATTCTAACAAAAATTCTAGTAAGGAATTTTTTGAGCCACAATCGAGAAGCTCGTTTGTTTATAATGATTATTCACAAAGAATGCTAAGAAAAAAACATTCTGAAATGCATCCCACAAACACCAATCCAAGCCAAACTAAGAAAAATTATGAAAATAGTGATAAAATATGCAAGAAAAATAATGTTGAATCAGAAAAAATATTGAGTCATTCACAACATTTTTTAAAAGAAACGAAAAATGATGGTGCATCTAATAGTAGTTCTAAAATTCTAAGAAATATTGGATTTGATAAGAATATTAGTCATAAAATAGAAATTCATGGAAATATTGAAGCTAATTCTAACAGAAATTCTGAAAAAAATGTTGTGTCTAGTGAAGGATTTTTTGAACCCAACTCTATAGACTCCTTTGTTTATATGGATTATTTACAAAAGATATTGAGTGAAAATTATTCTGAAATGCATCCACCAATTTTGGAAAGCCAGAAATATGAGGTTGGTAACAAAAAACAGCCAGAAAACTCTGTAAAAATAGGATTTTCTGAAATTACATCATTTGGTGTATCAGAAAAACTCAATAAATATGAAACTAGTAAAAGAAAGCTATCTAGTTTTAGTGAACCATTGTCACTGGATACACCTACATCTTTAAAACGATCTACTGTCTTGAATTCTTCAAATTATGAAAATCTTTTACTTAATAATTCTCAAAAATTAGCAGAAAGGAATATTTCTAGAATTACTAAACATCCTGGTGAAGTTTTGACCAAAAAGGCTTCTGAAAGATATGATTGGTCTAAATTTAAATTTGATGTTCAGAAAATAACAAAGAATGTCGAAGAAATTCCAGATAAAAACAGTACAAATATAAGTAAATATACAATTAGTAATAATAGATTGGCAGAAGAAATTGTACCAGAAACTAAGCAATTAAAAGAAGAAAGCAAAAAGTTTCAAAACAAAAACACAAAGCTTGAAAGAGATGAAAAAGAAAATAACGACAAAACTAAAAATTTAAAAGAAAGACTAAAAGAATTTGCGGGTTTACAGTCAAGTTCAATGACAAATCTTAACAGTCAACTGCTTGATACAGCATCAACTCAAGGTAGAGACAAAATTAATCATTTAAGAAACCAAAACCAAGATGAAGCTCAAGAATTGGCCAGAAAATCAAAAGCAGTTGAATCTTTTAAACCAAAACTTGAAAACGATGGTAAATATATCAGAAACCTTATGGTTTTGTCTTCAGGGGAGAATCCAATACAATCTAATGGTACAAGTAAAAATAAAAAACTTAATATTGAAAAAAATAATCGCACAAAAACATTAAAAAAGTTTGAAGATTTTCATTATAGCCAAAAAATGCTTCATAGCAACGACAGATCCAAAAACCTTAATGTTTTCAGTATTCCTACTACAAATAATGACGATATTAATGCAAAAAGCAGAGATTATATTTATGAACTTATTCAAGAAAATAATAAACTAAATGAAATGGTGAAAGATATACTAAAATCAGATTTACCCTGGGATGTAGAAAGAATAAATAATTTCCTGACCCATGACGGGGTTAATACAAGCTGCAATAATAAAATTCGTACATCTGAAACAAAGTTTGAACATCAGAAAGTTAAAAATTCGAAAAATGTTTCTTTGTTATCAGCGAATGAAAATATTACTGGAAATTTTGATGTTTTGGCAAGCTTAAATACAGTTTGTGATGGTGACATCCTCAATAGTGAAAGTATTTGTGAAAACTCACAGCTTTTAACCCAAACTGAGAATGCTGATATAAAAAATAAAGACAAAATAACAACGTTTAAGTATTGTAATATTACTGAAGATAGTGTTTTGTATAAAGATAATTTGTTGAAAAGCCTTGTAGAAGATCAAAATGAAATTTTATTATCACCAATTGGCAGAAATAACGATGGTGATAGATCGATAAAATTTACTTCCTGTGCATACATAAAAAGGTAAGATATATTGTTTAGATCAGAGATATAGAGATGTAGACCAAGTCTAGCTTAGGGCTATAGGGGGATGTCAAAAAGAAATAGTGATTATGATTTTTTTTTCAAATGTTTGTTTTAGATACAGAAAGGGACATATGAAAATATTCAAGGTGAAAAACAGACTGAAAAAAGATAAGAAATCAACCAAAAAGAAAATTAAAGAGAATCAGAAAATATTTGAGTATTTATCTCAGTTTAGTCAAGAGAGTGGCGTGATATCATCTGAATCTAGTGGCCAAGATGAATTTGAATGCACACCAACTTCTTACAAAACAGGTACCTACAGGGTGTCCCAAGCTGAGCGTGTGTCTTTTTAATAATAATAATAAAGCACTAAATAGATAAATTTCTGAAATGACAACTTCATTTGACAGTTATCTTTTACCTTGACTGGTGCTCATAAGTAAATACAGGGCCATAAGAAAGGAGAAATATTTAAAAAGAAATCGGCGATAACTCGTAAAATAGCATACTGATGTAAATAAACCGCACCTTTGTACCTTAACTCAAAAACGAAAAACCCCGTAAAACACACAAAAAATTGAACACCCCGTACATTGGTAAACATTAAAAACATACAACTGTCTCTCAATTTTGTATTTCTTGGTCAATTAAAATATATATTTTAATTAAGTAATATTATTAAAAGTTATAAGATAACTAGGTATATTGATATATTAGAATTTTAAAGAATTTGTTTTTTTTTCTCTCTAGATGACAGCAAATCCGATGTCTTATCTACCGGATCAGGCAAATTATCGGAAGCCGAACAACTTCTTAGGCAAGGCATTAATAAATTATCAAAGGATAAATCTCTGTTGTTCTCGAAATTAGAAGACGAGATTCCCAAAGATCCCAATCCCGAAGATATTATCAGATCAATTAAAGATATTTTAGGGGATGTTTTGAATGACTTTGAAAAGGGTAATAATCCCCATTTCGTTATGCCCAGGGAGCACATTTCGAATTGTATTTTTAAGGACGGAAGGTATAGTATAACATTTATACAGGGTGGGTCTTACTGTATATGCAAATTTTTATTTTTATGCAAATAAAAAAAACTGTATTTTTACAAGAGGAAAATCTTTTTTATTGTCGACATTTCATGAAAAATGCATTCTTTCAAATGGTTAATGCCATTTATACTTTACCATATCAAAAGTCCTAAAAATCATAAAACAAACAAAATTGTTTATGAAGAACCCAAGCAGCATTTGGACGTCGGGACAACGTTGTGTCACGCGACCAAACGTCGGGGCGCAACGTCGGCACAACCTCGTGCCAACCCTAGTCTGTGCACTAGTTTGGAGAATAATTTTTGGGTCGAAACGACGTTGGATACCGACGTTGGCTAGCAGCCTAATTTAGTACAAACTGCAACGTTGTTTAAAATCCTAATTCACAGAAATACAAAACTAATATGGCGTCTAAGTCGCGTTTTATCCTAAATTGGGATAATTATAGTAAAAATATTATTTTTATGATTTAGTTAGAGACATATGTCAGATGGCAGTGAAGGAAAACAAAACAAAAGTATTTAAGTTGGAGGATGTTTGAAGATCATAATTATTGAAACCCTTTAACCGACTCTGTAACTCGTTACCCAAGGTAAAACAGTTAAACGCAAACAACTTTATTGATAAATGTATTGTTTCTACTTTGAAAAATACTAATGGGCCTTAAAATTAGAGAAGTTTTAAAATTTTCTTGAATTTTTTTTTAGTAAAATGAGAATAATTTATTCGCAGCCGAAAAAATTGTTTCCGCGTGTTTTTTAGGGTCAAATATTTCAAGTTAATGTATTCAAAAAAAGCAGGAATTGCTATTTTAGGAACGAAACATTTTCTTATTTAACAACATGGCGGCTTTCACTTTGTTATTTTGGAGATTAAGATGGAGTAGTTCGAGTAGTCGCATACTGGACTAATAAAGTCGCAGTTCGGCCTTAACAGGTAGTACACTAGTCGCAAGATTGCCTAATTTAGTCATCCTAGAGTCTAGCTTGTGCCGCCCTCTATAATCTAAATAAACGAGGGAGTAGATAAACTATCGGTAATATATGTCGATGTATATTTAAATTTAGTTTTATATGTATCTTTCCTATGTCCCATTTTAATTAAGTTTTTTTTTATAAAAACAAAAACAGCACTGAACTGTCTGACTGAACAGAACAATGAAGTGAAAATTTAAGATTTAAGGTTATGGTTCAATACAGTTGCAAAAAAGTAGTGACTCGACGTCCTACCAACGTAAGAATAAGGAAATCTAAACAACGTTGGAATTAGTAAAACAGACGACGTTTGCATAACGTTGGAATAGGTCCTGAAACTGACGTCGGAAAACTCTATATTGTCCAACGTTGTAACTACGTTGTCCGAATCACTTAAAGATCACTTAAGCAAAAAAGGTTACAAGACAACGTTTATTCGACGTCGCAGAAGCTTCTACTTTCCTGTAGTACTAGTCGAACGTCGGCACAACGTTATAAAAACGTTTAAATTTATTTTAATACCCAAGGTAGGGAGCTAACTATTTTTTGTAACTAATCCAACGTTGTGTTTAGTAAACATGTGGTCGCAAGTCGTGAAAATGCTACTTGGGAATGCATTTTTCTCAAAATGAATGCTATTTTTCTTACAGGTATCAAATGAGAGATAATCCAGTCAATGCCACAGTCTCGTATGGCCTACCTCGTAGTCAAACTAAATTTAACATCATACTTTTTCTTTTAAGAAAGATTAAACATCTGCTTGAAACGAACACCAAGTTAACCAAAAGGTACCTGCTTACTTAAAAAAAATATAGAATAAAATTTTTTATTAAAAAATTTTAATTCCTCTAATAATCTTTAGAGAAATATATTATCAACTAAAGACATTAATACAAAAACAAGAGTATACTGACCGTGCTTTGAAAGATATCAGTAGAATGTTGAACGTTGGATTGTGGTCTTTAAACGTCACAGCTCAAAAAGGTTTGGTTTACGGTGATTTGAAGTTGATCATGAAGGATGGTGAAATAGTTAATTGTAATGTACCAGGTAATTTATTTATTAATAATATCAAGTATTTTTTTTTATTAAAAATTAGCCTGTATTCGCGACTTCGTTCGCGTCGAATTAATCATTTGTAATGGTGATGATAAAGCAAAGCAAGAATTTCCATTAACATACAAACTGGATAAAATTTTCTCACATTTATGTCAGCATGAGAAAAAACAATATGGCGATATTATTATATAACTTCGAGGGGTAGTTACATCTCGTTGGAATTTGACTTTCGAAAAATCCGTTTGCCAAAAACAAGCCTTTTACGTCAAGCAGTTTAAGCAGAATCGTGGTTAATCAATTACCCAATTTTTTGGAACACCTTGTATGATTTTTTAAAAAACTTCAAAATATGTAAAAACCCAAAATAAATTATGCGTTTTCCCGAAAGACTAACCGTTTTTTAAATAACAAATATTGTAATATTTGAGGGGCGTTTTCACCCTCTTGGAATTTGAGATTCGTGAAACCCCTCCTTATCGAACCTCTACACTCCACAGGCAATCCGTTTGCCAAAAATCAACTTTAAACGTCAAGCAGTTTAAGCAGAATCGTGATTACTCAATGGTCATGTTTTATGAAACACCCTGTATAAATTTTTAAAAAATCTTAAAATATGTAAAACAACTAAAGAAAATATACGTGTTTAAGAGTTTTTCCGAAAAACTCACCGGTTTTTAAATAAAACATATTTCAATATTTGAGGGGTGGTTTCACCCCCTTAGATTTCGACTTTCGAAAAATCCCTTCTTATCGAACCTCTACACCCTAAAGTCAATCCGTTTTCCAAAAATCAGTTTTTTACGTCAAGCGCTTTAAGCAGGATCGTGATTAATCAATGACTAGATTTTTCGAAACACCCTGTATACATTTTTAAAAAATCTTAAAATATGTAAAAAAACAAAATAAAATATACGTGTTTAAGCGTTTTTTCGGAAACTTGACCGTTTTTTAAATAAAAAAATATTGTAATATTTGAGAGGTGGTTTCACCCTCTTGGCACTGGAATTTCAAAAATCCCTTCTTATCGAACCTTTAGACCTTAAAATCAACCTGTATGCCAAAATTGAGCTTCTTACGTTGAGTGGTTTGAGCAAAATCGTGATTAATCAGTGAGTCAGTCACTTATGGATTTTATATATTAGTATAGATTACAAATTTATAAAAAATTATAAAAAATTACAAAACAGTGTATTTACATTTGGTTTGTATATTTTGGCTCAAAACAAATAAATATGTTCTGTTATATTTAGGAACTTCCATACCTCAGAACACTTTGGAAATCTCAGAAATCCAATCTTCGGCCTATTTCATTTTGGTTGTCGAAAAAGAATCGATTTTTCATAAATTACTGGAAGAAAATTTACCCAATAAGTTGACGAGACCCTTTATATTAATATCTGTAAGTTTTTAACGTGCTAATTGTCTGTGTTTTTATTATTTACATAGCGGTCTTTAAAAATAGTTTGTTTGTTTTTGTATATTAATAATAAAAAAACAGTTGTTTTTAATTTGTTCTAGGGTAAAGGTTTTCCAGATTTAAACACACAATTGTTCCTTAAAAAACTCTGGATGGTTATGTATGTTCCAGTGTTTATTTTAGTCGATGCCGATCCTGACGGAATTGCAATCATGTTGAATTACAGATTTGGTTCCATTGTAAGTAATTCTCTAAAAAATAAATATATACAGGGTGTCAAAAAACTTATGCTCGTGTTCCAGGATCTTATTATATAGTCTGTGAAACGAATAACTTTGAATTTGACAGTTCCCGCGGTCTTTTCTAGTGTTAATTTTATTAGGTTAGCAAATTGCAGCCATACTGATGCCGTCTCTAATAGAACAGCCCCGGAGCGAGATTTATGACGTCACGCTAGTTAGATACTACGGATTAATTATGTTGTAGAATGATGAAAAACATAATTATTCCTCGTATATGTAATTTTTAGGATTATATTCGACACTATTTTTTTCATATGACACTGATGAAGGCTATAAACGTTAGCTATAACAAAAAATTTTAGAATAATTTTACATATAAAATGACAGCGATTTTTATTTCATAGCCATCGCTGACGCCTTTTTTTCTATGATATTGTATTATTTGCAAATATAATTTTTCAAACATTGATGCTTGCAAAATATACATATAAATTTTGTGAATGCAAATAATAATACATCATTATTAGTAGATATTGAATATTTTTGTTAAATTAGATCGATTTTCAAAAACCAAAATTTAAAATATATTTTACATATTACCCATTATCTTATGTACCTATTCATTATTTGTATATTGTAAAACATTTGATGCATTTGTATGGTTCATAGTTTATTTGTCAAAGTATTTATTACTATAAATAGGTATATATATTGTATTTATTAACTGTATATTATGTATATTTCATGTAAACTATATCATTTTTAAAATACAAACCAAAAATACGAGGAATAATTATGTTTTCCGTGTATTCTACAACATATTTATTAATCCGTGGTATCTAACTAGCGTGACGTCATACATCTCGGTCTGAGGCTGTTCTATTAGAGACGGCATTGGTCTGATATTTAGAAATGTCAAAGGCTGATGACATTTTATTTTTGTCAATTATGACATTTTGCGTTGATTTTTGCAAGAAGAGGAAGAACTGCCACCTGTTTTATTATTTTCCTTTTCTATTTTACGAAAGTAAAAAGAGTTACCTATCTGATTCGATCAGGCACTCATTTTAAAGAATATCAGTAACTTTTTGGATAGAGGGCTTTTATATTTGCCATGTTGGTAAAAAATAACGGTCAAAATTCAAAGTTATTCATTTTATAGACTATACTACCTGTTAAAATACTAGTACTTATTCAAGAGACATTCTGTATATTATTTCTGTAAAAAGTAATTTTTTTTCATTATATCACATGGTTCCGATTTTTCTTGTGCCTTAAGTGTCATAAGTGTTTACAAATTATTGAGTTCATAGAATCTTTTTTTTAGGCAAACGCCCATGTTTCCGAATTTCTAACCATACCAAAAGCAAAATGGATGGGTGTATTTCCATCGGACATAAATAAATTTTCTTTTGCCACTGAGAAACTCACTCAGAGAGAAATCAGTAAAGTCAAACGATTGCTGACTTCGGACTGTGTCAAAGGAAACGAAGAAATAGTAAGGCAACTGGAAATTCTTTTGGAAAATAACGTGAAATGTGGTATAGAGAGCTTGCTCAAGTCTGAATTGTTTTTGAGCAATTTCTATCTGAGCTGGAAAGTCCATTCTAATGATCTGATTTGATATGCTGTGAAGGTTTTATGTATGATAGAGAATATATTTTATTTTTGATAAATATATTTAGAAGAACGTATTTTTATTACAGGTTTTAAATGCCTAGCAAATAATTAAATGCTGTCTTTTAATTTTAATGTGGGACACCCTGTTTATTGTGGGACACCCTGTACCTAATCTGAAAGTAGAAAAATATCGGATTTATAAAAAATAAATTCTTTATTTTTATTAAGAAATATCGACACAAATCAATCAAATCTATCTCCGGAACCCACCCCATACATCTTACACATATTCTCAATAGGTTGCTTGGTCTCCAAACTGTAAGCTGGATCATGAACATCTTCCCTATTAACAACACTATCCACGATAGTTTTGTCTTCTTCGTTCAAATCTGCTTTAGATAAATCATGAAAAGCATACTCACTTCCATCAGTATCTTCATCAAAGTAAGCTGGAGGAATGTCCAAGATTGCCAGTCTTTCCTTGCTACATTTGGTCAAATTTGTCAAACTTTTATTATTGGTACAAGATTCAACACTCTTTTTAAAAGGTAATGCTAGTAGAGATGAAGAATAAGGCCTGTTAATTCTGTTAGTGAAATTTTTCGATTTATAAATCAACTTCAGTGACGTGCTGCTGGGAAAACTCTTTGAGTTCATTGCCGTGTACAAGATGCTATGAGAACTTTTAGTTAAATCGATGACAGGGATGTTATCGCAATTCGGATAAGTTTTAACGTAGATAACTGAACTTTCTGATGGTATTCTCTGAAGATGTGGCTGTATTTTCCTCAAATCCACTCTGCTCGACTCATATTCAGCATATTCGTTCAAATATCTATTCGATTTTTGCTTAGGCTGTCTGCCTTTCTTCATTTTCTTATTTTTCGGCGAGTTGAAATTGTCCTTTTCGTATTTTCTTTTCTGTCCTTTGGCGTAAGACTTTTTTGGGGCTTTAGGAAAGGCTTTTTTAGATGTCTAGAAGATAAGTAAAGGTTATTTTTTAAAATAGTAGGACAAAATTATCGCGTACCTACCACTTTGTTCATTTTAATCAGATAAAGAACTTTTTTAAACTGACACGATGATTTTTATAACACTCTAATTAGGTATTTTGACGCTGTCATTAAAATAAAATGACTTAATGTCTAATTGTAGCGTTTCCATGACGACACTGGCAAGTATGAGGTGTTGATTTTTATTAACAAAACCAAATAACAATAATTAATGTGAATAAAAATTTGAATTTTGTGGATGAAAATAATAGACAGATATCATATCATTAACGATGTATTGTAAACTTCATTTCGTTTATTTTCATATTTTAATAAATATTACAAAAACGAAAACATTTAACATTTCATAATATATCTAACGTAGCTGAAGTCTTAAAAATTAGATTTTAACATTAGTTGGTGTTCCGTACGTTATTATTACTTAACATTGATGATATACAACAGTTATAGTGTTATTTTTTATTAGGCAATAATAATTTTCAGTTATATTTTCCCAAACATAACACGAACAAAAATCGTATCTACAATAATTCACAACCGAACGCTCTGAAGCTTTTGTTTAATTTATGTGTATAAATAAATTTGAAAAATCATCAACAATATAATACAGGGGTTTTCAAAACTAACTAGTTTTACTATGTCAGCTACAGACAAAAACAGACAGAGACAAACAGAGACAGACATACAGACTTTCTACCTTTCTTCATTTTCTTGATTTTCGGTGAGTTGAAGCTGTCGTCGTATTTTCTTTTCTGTCCTTTGACGTACACAGACAGACAGACAGACAGGCAGAAACGATTTTGACTAAAACAATTTTTGTCTCTTTCCATATAAAATTACTCTTTTTTACCCTATATTATTTTAGATAATATTTCAAGTTTATTTATTCTTAAATTTATTTATTTTAATAAATAAACAACCGAACTGCTTCAACATACCTACTAAAGAAGAAATTTGTATAATAATACAATTAAATATTTATTAAAAATTCAGGAAGACTGACTCTCACGAAAGGATAACATTTGAAAACATATATATCTTTTAGTAACATCTAAGATTCATTTTTTTATCCTTAAACCTAGAAATCTGTTAATACATATGTATAAGGTATATGTAAAAAAGCCTTGCTTAATATTTATTAAACTATTTTTTCATTTTTTTTTAGTTAACACTTAAGTCAGATTGTCTGTCTTGCTTTTTAGCATATAGCGTCTACTTAAAAATGTCTATAGAAAAAAGAAATAATTTTTGACCATCTCTAATGTAATGTTTAGAAAACAAGACACAAATTCGTACAAAACATTTTTTTTTAATTTTAACTTTATCTGAGACATTTTTTTTTGGAATAAAATGATACCACTACTGGTTTCCATTCCTAAGTATACAGGGTGGCGCCTCTTACGAGTCTCTTACGCATCTTACTCGTCATTTACATTATTTAGTTTGGCTGTGATAATATTACTGACTCTGGAATGATTATATGAATTTAAAAATAAAATGTTTTAATAAAATATTTCTGAAAAAAAAATTTAGAGATGGTCAAACAATTTTTTGATTTAAGGTTCACAACCATATTATTGATTATTTTAGTTAGAAGCTCAAAAAAATCACCGAAAAAACATTTTTATTTATATTTAATTGACGTATTTCTTCATTTTTTTTTTCATTTAATTTTATTTCTGTACTAATATTAATTAACAAAGATTTAGAGAAGAGTGTAACAATTATATAATTCTATATATTACAAAAAGTGGTTTTAGAAATACAAAATATGTCCCTGCCTAAGACCTACAGTTTGTTCAACGCCAAGATGCACCAAAGGCAAACAAATACATGATGCATGCACTTGAATACTGTTTAATATTATTTTATATTACTGTAATGTTACTGTACTCAAAAAAAATTTCATGTATTTTTAAGATGATAAGATGGATATATATTTACATTTCTGTATCTCTTATTATTCGAGGGAAAATAAAATATTGATATTTTTGCGAAAGTTTAAAACACCCTGTGGAATAGCATAGTAAAGTAAGAAATTTAAAAACCACTTTTTCATCAAAGTGCATTTTTTCTCAATAGTTTGATTTTTTTATTTTTGTTGGAGATATTCGCTTTTGAACAAAGCAGTACCAATTTACAGCAATAAGAGTTGTGTGCATTTGGTGCATTTTGCCCTTGAATACACTTTAGGGTTTTACACTAACAACTAGATAACACTAAATACAAAAGGAATTTTTTTGTTATAGAGAAACGTATGTATTTCTAATAATTATTCCTCATTTTTCGGAAGAACGTTTTTTTTGCAGTGAACAACCAGTGGCGTCTCTTCGTAACGAGTACAGGGAATCAAAAATGAATAAAAAATCATTCTATGAACCATTGTGTTAAAATATAACACTGAACGCCACTGGCAAGTATATTTTTAATGTCACATTTTCTACATAAAACATATTTACAATCCCTTTAAACCATGAAACATAAATTATTATAATTAAATAAAAATTAATTAAGATATTTTCTTTAGTGTTTCATATTATACAGAGTGTAACATAGACTAATTTTTATAATAACAAATTTTACCCTGTTTAACATACATAAGGCTTTTATTAATTATTGTATATACATTTTTTATTTTGATTTGATATTTGTGACATTAAAAATATTGTTTCAATATTTTTTAATATGATAAAAGATTATTTTTAGGCATAAGTTTGCTGATTTTTTTGTTTGCAAAACAATCAGTGTATTTTTATTAAGAAAGGCATTATATACCGTGTGATCTAATAAAAATCGTAACGTCATATTTTTAGTATGCTTAGAAATAACACATTTCAGTTTCAGTTTAACTATGTATACAGGGTGTCTCTTAATGACATGCTTATATTTAAGTAGATGATTCTTGGACCTATTCTGGGAGGAAAAAAAACTTCATATCAATGTATGTCCTAAACATCTTAATTTCTAAAATACAGGGTGGTAAAATTTTCTAAAAAAAACGTTTTTTCTTTATGAAACCTGATACACAAAAAAAATAGAAAATTTTACCACCCTGTATCTGCAAAGTTAAGATGTTTAGGACATATATATGAAGTTTTTTTCTTAGAATAGGTCCATGAATCATATCCTTAAATATTAGCATATCATTAAGGAACACCCTGTATACCGGGTGCGTCCCAAAATTGGCTCACCCCTATAATTTTTTTTATTTTTTCAGATAAAAAAACGTGATTTGGTATATTAGTATATGACATAAATTAGGATTGAGTACTCAATTATACACACCAGATATAAATTTATGAAAATGTGATTTTATACCATATGATCGAAAAAAAAAACGGCGTCTAAGACGGCTGGGGAATGACAATCGATGGTAATTTTGGCAAGATATTATTAAATTACAATATTCTTAAGGCCCAACTGGCAGTAAGCGCCAGTACGGGATAACTAAATCACATCTAGGGCTTGACCTCGTCAAAATAATTACCGACTGTAATTCCCCGGCAGTCTTTGACGCCGTTTCTTTTTTCGATTGTACGGCACCATACATCTGGGTTTGACTGATTGTGGTTGATATTACTCTATCTATTTTTATAGTAATAGTATATTCAACAGTTTCCCGTTTAACACAATATAAACTTTTAGGCCTATCCTGACGTCGTTTTTATTCGATCACGTGCTAATATAATTTCCTTTAAAAATAATATTCCGCCTAATAACTTGTCTTATAGATAGAAATATCAGAAAGATCGCGAACTTCGTTCTAACTATTACCTAATATTTACAAATTTATTTAGAATATCAATGATCGTGTTTGATAACATAAAACACAAAATTACACAATTAGTAAATTCTTTCAAGCAGTTCTATAGAAAATTCCTTATAAATTTTCTTCTCTAATATTCCTTTTAGGGTGGAACTCCTGTTCTAAACACTGAAACGTGGCTTCTATCATGCACTAAGCATTCACTTCTACACATCGTCGCGTCGCTTGGGATTGTCATTGTTCTCGGACACTTTTCGTATTAGTGTTGGAGTCTCTATATTATCTCTATGTTAGGCGAAAATCATATAAAGTAATACAAAGAAAAGGTTAGGCAGAGGTATAGCTTAAATATGAGTGGAGTTATTGATATAGGAATAGTTTTATAATTTTCTATGCTGGCTTTATACATATTTACCATGCGATTTTTAAATTCATTTTTGCCAACCATGAACATATTCGATGCCCGGCTGACTAACTGGAATTTAAATTTCCCGCTGGGGATTCAGGTTGTAGCTCTGTTGTAGAATTGTCAAGTTGCCACTTTTATTTATTTTATTTCCTGACATTCTCATTCATTTTGACAGTTTATTTTGTATTGCGAGTTTTTGGTTTGAGTGAATTGTGTTGTGATACTTATGCCCACTTGCACCGTTTGTATAAACTTTGATTAATAAGTTTATACAAACGGTGCAAGTGGGCATTAAAACTACGTTGAAACGGGTGTGAAGCTCGATCGTGGCCCACACTTTCGTGGACCACGCCTCATGTCAACAGTAGATTCGTGAAAGAAGAATCGAAACGAATCAATACGAAAGACACCACGATCGTGAATAAGCAAATCAAACGTGTGAGATATTTCACGAATCTTTAGTGAATAAAAAATCGCAGTGGAAATTGAGATAAAAAAAGCATATTTTGCACTATTCTCGCATTAGAAAATATTGATTGACTTATTATAATTACGATTATAATATTTGTTGCAAAAAAAAGTTCTAATGTTTAATTGCTACATTTTTTAAAATATATTTTAGTATATGATTATAAAAATTAACTTCATATGCATAACAAAACCATAATTAAAATAAATATAAATTTAATTTTAATATACAGTAATGACTCGCGAGTAAATTAGAAATGTCTGATGAAAAGACGTAAAATAGTAAATATTGGCAACTCTATGAAGAGATATTGACATGAATGCCACAATTAATTATTTTCACTCGTCTTTTAATGTCGTAATATTTGGCACATTAGTGTACAACCTTCCACCAAACGAACTTTATAGAACAGCCTACGATCGCTGGACGATTTTCGTGTTTCACGAACGAATGGCTTTTTGGTACTTTCGTAGCTCACGAAAGTGTGAGACACGATCGTACTTCACTACCCATGTCAACCTAGCTTTAGGCTTAAATGTTTTGTATAGGGTGTCCCAGAAGTAAGTGTTTAAGGGGTGGTAGATCTGGTCAAAAGAAACATTTTTTCTCTTGTCCATTTTTCAAATAAGTCCAAAATAACCGAGTAATTTTAGTTTGAAAATTTAAACAAAAAATGCTTTTTTGCTTAAATTTTGGGAACCACTGGATCTTTTCTCGATTTTCTTTCATGTAAATACTACTACTTGTCAAAAATAATTAGGATACCTAAATTTGACTTAGATGTTTCTGTAGCGTATCTGATATTTTTGCTGAACTGGAATTCAAGTCAGCCATATTAATCGCCCATCGAGTTCTACCTCTCCTTCGTTGATATTTTTATTCAAAGCAAACGACAAACATTTCGAGTTGGTGACTTTTTAAAATTTATTGCTTTTAAAAATGACTGATCACAACCAAAAATGTCACTAAAGTTTTTCAATAATTCCACTCATATTTCGGATAGATCTAGATCATAAAATTATCAATTATAAGAAATAATATGAAATTATATCTATTTTGAAGACAAAACTATAGAAGTGTAATAAAAAATATTAAAAAATACATTTTTTTATTGTAAGCGAATCTAACATCTTACCCAGGCTGTATACAACTGTCAAATGACCTCTAAAATACGTATTATTAGATAAAATTATTTTTAAAAGATTTAGAACAGAGAACTAGTATAATAAATTAATTATGACATCATCTAAAAAAAAACTTTTAAATATAAATTAGGACAAATATACGTGCCATACCTGACGTCTGTATAACGTGAAACGTCTCAATAACCAAAGAGATTAAAAATCACCTAAAATATGCCTATAGATAAATCAATAAGAGTTGACCATTTAGAACTTGTGTTGCTAATAACTTCATTTAATTAGAATTAGGTTCTGTAATATAATCACACACAAAATATAGATATAAGAAATACTTGTATACCGGGTGCGTCCCAAAAGTGGCTCACCTCTAAAACTTTTTTATTTTTTTAGATAAAAAACGACATTTAGTATGTTAGTATATGACATAAATTAGGATTGATTGCCGTATTCAATTGTTTTTGGTCACTTCCGGTTTCACAGCCTAGGTAGAGTGCGAGTTTACGCTATATTCCAGTTTCTAAAAGGTTTTCTTATGTTCTGCTGTTCGCTATGTGCTGTCCTCGCTCGTGTTGAACAGCCTCCTGAAGGCCGTCACGTGGCTGTGGTAGGGCAACAGATGATGAAGTAAGTTTCAGGTATCTTCGGGCTCGGGGGTTTCCCGCTCTCCCGTGTCCAGTTTAAGGCACTCTTCGAAGAAGTTTTGCATGGAGATGTAGACGTGTCCCAGGACTCCGTCCAAGTCGTGGCCTTCGTCAGGGTAACTCTGGAAATATCCAGCAAAAATATATTTAATGGTACAATCACTGTAGATTAGAACTATAAATTTTACCTGGTATTGAAAGAGAACTCCCGCTTGTGACAAGGCTCTCGATAGCAATACGCTGTGCTGATATGGAGCTGTCAGATCGGCCAAACCGTGAAGAAGGAAGAACGACTTTTTGGGAATATTTTTGGCTCTCTGCGTAGCGTCCGCTTCCACGTATCCCTTGTAGTTTTCGGTGGGAAGACCGAGAATCTTTTCCGTGAAAGCTGAGTCTAAAAAATGACAAATTTATCACACAGCTATCTAGACAGGTGTGTTAGATATGATTAGATTATATGAGGTGGTTTTTTTTGGATATTCCCAATGGGACAAGCAAATTTTTGGATGAACTAAGGATGCATTTTTCTCAGAAGGTCGAAAATAAAAAGGTTTTCCTCTTGTAAAGACCCATCCGGGTACATACTGTATAATTCATAGAGAAGTACTTACTATAATATAACCAGTCTGTTATAGGATTCACTGCAATACCGCACTTGAACACCTTTTGTTGATTGCCCATGCCCAGCACCATGGAAGTGACGTAACCACCGTACCCCCACCCCCATATACCTATCCTGGTTTTATCCAGGTACTTATGGTATTTATGATCCTTATTTAAAAGATATTCTATCACTGATAACTGATCTTGAACCTACAAACAATCACATTTAATAATTCTATCTGGAAAAATAGTGTCACAACAAGGTATTACCTCCACACCTCCTAATTGGTGATACAGAGCTCTGTTGGTTTGACCTTTTGAACCTCTGACATCTAATTTTACGTAAACTACATCACAATGACTGGACATGAACGTTGCCCAGTCAACACGGAACTCTTCAGTGACTGCCTTGCTTCCTGGTCTACCGTTCCTAAAAAAGATTGGATGAGTTAGACGATTCAACAAAAACATGTTTTAAAGATACTATACGATCGACAAAAAACGTCTAGAGATTGACCTCTCCAAAATTACCATCGATTGTCACTTTCTAGCCATCTTTGACGCCGTATTTTTCGATCATAGAGTATAATAATCATAATATATATGATTTTTGGAAATACATTTTTTTAATAAACAAGTTGACAACCTCGCATATTTCTGTTTATGTCAAGTTTGTATAACGGGTACGTCTCAAAAGTGGCTCACCCCTATAACTTTTTTATTTTTTCAGATAAAAAAACGAGATTTGGTATGTTAGTATATGACATAAATTAGGACTGATTGACGTATTCAATTATTTTTGGTCACTTCCTGTTTCACCGGAAATGACTACTAAACTAAATACTACTTTTGATTTTTAAATGGCACCCTCGGTATTTTTTTTACTTTATTCGATAAAAAATGACATTCTCAATAGAATGACATATCATATGTCAACTTTTGACATTCTCGCTTAATAGAAAATCGCATTTTAAAATGCAATCTAGAGTGCCATGGCTATGTTAAAAACACCAATTCTTAATCAAGGAGCCTTGGAAAAATAGATTTGATTATCTAATGTTTTTAGTGTCTTGTCCTGGCCAGTTTAGAAAATGCTGAAATCGTATTTTTAACAATATCTCATTCTTTTCAAATGGAACAAGGGTGGCTCGTTAGCATATTTGGAAAAAGGATTTTTTTACGAATAATTTGATACCACACACTTGGTATTTCGAGTCAAATTTTCGTTACGAACCGCAATATAATATAATTCCAAATAATATAATTTCAAATAAACCGTATGCGAAAATGTTAAAAGTTGACATATGATATGTCATTCAATTTAGAGTGTTATTTTCTATCGAATAAAGTAAAAAAATAGCGGGGGTGTCATTTGTAGTCATTTCCGGTGAAACAGGAAGTGACCGAAAACCATTGAATACGTCAATCAATCCTAATTTATGTCATATACTAACATACCCAATCTCGTTTTTTAACTGACAAAATAAAAAGTTATAAGGGCGAGCCACTTTTCAGACGCACCTCTAGGAGTGGAAGAGGAAGAGGAAGAGGAAGAGGAAGAGGAAGAGGAAGAGGAAGAGGAAGAGGAAGAGGAAGAGGAAGAGGAAGAGGAAGAGGAAGAGGAAGAGGAAGAGGAAGAGGAAGAGAGGAAGAGGAAGAGGAAGAAGAAGAGGAAGAGGAAGAGGAAGAGGAAGAGGAAGAGGAAGAGGAAGAGGAAGAGGAAGAGGAAGAGGAAGAGGAAGAGGAAGAGGAAGAGGAAGAGGAAGAGGGAAGAGGAAGAGGAAGAGGAAGAGGAAGAGGAAGGAGGAAGAGGAAGAGGAAGAGGAAGAGGAAGAGGAAGAGGAAGAGGAAGAGGAAGAGGAAGAGGAAGAGGAAGAGGAAGAGGAAGAGGAAGAGGAAGAGGAAGAGGAAGAGGAAGAGGAAGAGGAAGAGGAAGAGGAAGAGGAAGAGGAAGAGGAAGAGGAAGAGGAAGAGGAAGAGGAAGAGGAAGAGGAAGAGGAAGAGGAAGAGGAAGAGGATATATTGGGCATCTAGTATAGTACTTGTCTGATATATTAACTTACACTTCGACTACTACTGGATATGCAGCATCTCTTAATTCTTCCCTCCAAGATGGAGGCAACAACAGTTGTACCTGAGCCAAGCTACCTTGAGGAAGAGGTATCTAAAACCATAATTTATTTAATAAGATAAAAATTGAACGTTGTACCAAAAAGTTATTTGCCTCAAAAGAAGTCTTTCTGGGCATTGCAAGGTCCTGTAGAATATGTCCGTAACTCGCTCTAGTGTCGTACAGAATTTTCAGTAACTTATGACTAGTTGAGTTGTGTAGGCCAGCCAATGGTAAACCGGGACCTCCACATTGGAGGACATAGTATAAGGACATGGCAGAACCTTCTTGAGGACTGATCTGAAAATTAAATAGAAATACATATATACATATTATTTTATAAATATATTGTTTTTATAGAGTTTATTACGAGTAGAAAAAATATTGTGCTGTGTTGGCGTTGGTTTCTATGTAATTTGACAAAATAAATAAAGCTGTCTCTTTAGTTATCAGTTTTGAGTCAATATTTTTTAATTCTCTTTCGTGTCGATTGCTGATTGAATTGGAGCCAGAAATGGCTCAAAACGAAATAAGTAAATTACCAACAGATATTCAGGCTGAGGCGACAAACGCCATATCCAAACTACTTCCATTTAAATCCCGAATAACTTATGAAAAGGAATACAAACATTTTCAAAAATGGAAGCAATTAAAAAACGTGCGAGAAGAAATAAAGTTTTTAACCTAACCTCGCTGTTAAAAACCCTTGCGGTTAAAGTACTATTTTATCTACTATTTCTGATAGATGTAAGGCAATTTTAACAGTTGCTATGGAAAAAAAACTGTTGGCGTTCATTTTTCATCTAAATTACATCTTAAAATTCTTTTAATTAACATTTTTGTGTAACAAACAACTGTATAAACCCCATAGTACCTTTACAAAGCACAGTACAAATCCCAAGTAATAAATAAAACATTATTTCTCTCCTCTAATTTTCTTTAATCGCTCCGATTGCTAAAATGGCTGAAACCTACACCCAAAAGATATATATGCGAAGGGCAGAAGTTTTCTCATTTAAAAGTTACTTAGTTTAAATTTCTTGGATGGTTTATTCCTCGCAAAATTACTTTTTATTTAACACAACAGCTTATTTCGAATAGTTCTGCTAGTTTGGAACTTTAGAGAAACTTTGACGCATTTAACGCTGCCCGGGTTTCAACATTTGTACGGGACTGAATAGCCGAAGTGGAGAATGTTCGAGGAAACCTATAATTTTGTGTTTATATCCTAGGTCCCGTATGCACATAATCTTTTACCTGTCAGGTAAGGTGGATTAAAAACTAGCGTATACATTTCTACATCATACAGTCGCATAGGTATATGGTTATTTTCTTTTATCTATATCGTTGAATAAAAAGATTAAGGAAGGCGCATATCAAAAATCCTTGATCGACCGCGACGGGACTCTAAAATGGCCGACTTTAATTCCGGTTTATCAGTGCCGTTCTAATTTTACTCAAAAGGTGTAAAAATATGATGTAGGGTAGACTCAATAATTTGTTTTTTATTTTACGTTGTCAATAAATGTTGGTAGTTATTAAAATTGTTATAAATATTATATAATTCTAATAAAAATAGATAAGTTATAATAATTATTCATTAACACAAACATGCGATACGCTACTGAAGCAGGTAAGTTAAATTGACGTATCTAAATTCTTTGACATCTAATCTTTGACAAGTGGTAAATAAAAGCAAAAATGCAAGAAAAAATATATGATTAGTTAATTTTAAGCGAATTTCATAAATGATCGGTTTACTATACGTATGTATATTATGTCACTTACTAGCGAAAAGTTATTTCATTATTTCCCTCGAGATCTACCGCACGCTACAACCAACTATTTTACAGTCTTTTTCGATAAATCGCAATAGTGTGTCACTGCTAATTTAAGTTCTGCTATAATTTTCTTCTAGATTTACTACCTTTAAACAACTATCAGTAGCAGAATAAATAATAAATAACATAAAATAAGCTCAGTAAAGACTGATAAATCAACAAAATTTCAAATCAAATTCAAATGTGTCAAACAGAACTGTCAAGGATCCCATCCTAGGGCCTTTTGTTTGTCTACCTTGCATGAATACACGATCTATGTCTAGGTTTCAACAAGATTCCTACCTGTGCATCGAAATGCGTACAGTTTCCATAGAGATATCTGCTGCTCCACAGAACATCTTCCAGGTTACACGTTATACAGTGCGATTCTAGTCTTCTAGGGTCATCATTGGTTGGATCTTGCGATACGTACAGATGCTTTTGACCAGTCTTGTGTTGTTCCGTCGCTAAATACCATCTATCGCATAAAAATAAGTGAAATTAACATTATGCATTAGTATAAGTATACTTTTTCTGTCTAAAGCTTTATTCATAACCTCGAAATTAGTAGTTTCAATTATACTTTAAAATTAAGAGATTATGATCATTCAAAAATACAATTAAAATTAACAGAGTATTCTTGTGAAAAGATTTTTATTATTAAGTAATATTCGTCAAGTGTATCGTCGGTTTAAGATTCCCAATATTTTCACTGTAATCCAAGTTCTGACACAATATCTCCAAATTTGTACACCTTGCATAAAACCGATTATAAAATAAACAAGATATGACATCTTGATAACAAAAAGTTAGTTATTGTCAGAAATAGTTAAAATCATGTTAAAATATTAAAATTTACAAGTTATTATTAGTTATTTTCATAATGGTACAGCGTAATGTTGATATGCAGGTCCAAAACAAAAAGTGCCGTTATATTTTTCAGTTTTCGTTGTCAGCCGCGGAAGTTTCAGTGATTTTAGTGTTGTCGGATATTTTTATTTGTGAAATAGAAATATTGGGTTTGGATTGCAAAATTAAAAGTGGAAGTTTTATTTCAATGTAAGTAAGCGTTTGTCCATTTTATATTTTATTTTTTTCATGCCTATGACAAATATACATATATTGAAATTTAACAATTCGTTTTATTTAAAATGTTAGAAAACAAGCCTGTATTCCTGTAATTGACATAATTGTAATGTAATATATTCCATTTAAATGTAATATATTACTTTACAATTAAAAAAATGTAAATTTAAAAAATATATTAAAAATATATACAGGCATTAATTGAAATTTTTAGAGTGCCAACAAACACGAGAGGCGCTTTATTATTTACTTTCATTTCTTAACATGACAGATGAAGTTCTAAAGGGGGATGTTTTGTGCTAAAAAATTAACTATACTCAGGATGAATGGTACTTACATAAGATGACTGTTGGTATCCCAAGCTAGGATCTTGCTGACTTCGTGAGGTCCATGGCTCAGTACTGCTATATGTTGCTGAGTTACTGTCACGTGTTTGATGTGAGTGTAGGTCTCTCTGCTGCCCTCTTGCACGTGGGCCAGCATCAAAAAACTGTCACCGTCCGGCGAGAATATTGGGTGTTCTTGGACATCCAACCACGAGCGTTCGAGTGCTCTTTCTGCATGAGTCTGACAAAAAGAAAAAAAGTATGATCAATCCATATATCAATCCATTTATTTTACTAAAAATGTTTCTAATATCTTTTAAGTTATGGATGGGTTAATATATAAATCCTTCGTACGTCGTCTCTTGTTGTTTTTAACCAGTCTTATTGGTTTATTTCAAAATTGACAGATCGTATTTCGATATGAATGGAGTGACGGAACGATGAACAACAAAAAGACGTAGATGCGTATGAACTCGACTTAAGATTTTTGAAACTCTTGTCAAATTAAAGGTTATTATTTGTGTCAAATAAATTGTTTCTGGAAAATACTAAATATTTGCGATATTGCTTTTAAGTACAGGAAAAATCGAGGAAAAATTAAGTGTAGATCCAGAGTTGTATTAGCCACCAATAAAGTTTGTATATATTATCTTGTATATGGTATCAAAAACTGGAGTGGCTGTAAAATAAATACATTAGCATGATAGGTAAATAATAACAGCTTTCAGTACTGTAGGCGAGATAAGGTGAAAAGGTACTGGTTTAAAAAAATAATATTAAAATTAATTAACTGACTTTTAAGGTATAAAATTCAGTGTATTGTGTAGAAAATTAAAAATTTTGTGAATTTATAAACATACAAAATACAGAACGTAAGTAATATGAGAGGTGGCAACATTGCAAAGATTTAATACACCCTCAAACCTGCGGCACCAAAAAGTTTTTTAAAATCTACCGGAAATTGCGAAGAAAATTTTAAAATATACTAAAACTCCTGATTCTGGAGTCTAAAAAATTATACTACTAGTTAAATACCTAAAAAAACACACTGTATTTTAGTTTCTATAACAGATAACCACTCCCTGGACATGAAAGCCTCATCATAATTTTCTCGATATAAAAAAATCAGGCTTAAAATACCCCCAACCAGTAATTATCTAAAGATAGTATCGTGTCTGGATTATATTTGCTAACAGAACTAATCATCTGACCTTTTACCATTTCTTAAGCATTAAACTAAGTATCTCGCCCATAAATCAACCCTAAGATTTACAGGAAATTGAGTAAAATTAGGCCAAACCCTGAAAAAATTAAGTTTTAAATGCTTTTACACGTAAACCTTGTGTATAAAGATGGCCATACACATGCAGTTTTTTCTGCAGACAAGGCAGTCAAGATCTGAAGGAAACGATAGAATTTACATAATTTGTTTGTCTATGGCGAACATTCATTAATTGTATAATTTTTTATCAACTTCCTTGTTCTACTAGGCAGCGATCAGTAATGGTTGAAATACAATATGATTTAAAATGAGGATCTTTGTCACTTTATATGTAAAATTATATGGGGAATGTCCAAGCCAACTGGACGCCGTTTTTTTAGATCATACGGTATTTGGCAATATCGTGTTAAAGGGTTTTATAAAATAACTAGCATGTACCCGCGACTTCGTTTGCGTCCATTTGTAATGTTAATGATAAAGCAAAACAAGAATTTCCATTAACATACAAACTGGATAAAATTTTCTCACATTTATGTCAGCATGAGAAAAAACAATATGGCGATATTATTATATAACTTGGTAATATTTGAGGGGTAGTTTCATCTCGTTGAAATTTGACTTTTGAAAAATCCGTTTGCGAAAAATAAGCCTTTTACGTCAAGCAGTTTAAGCAGAATCGTGGTTAATCAATTACGCAATTTTTTGGAACACCCAAAAATTTCAAAATATGTAGAAAATCAACATAAATTATGCGTGTCCAAGCGTTTTGCCGAAAGACTAACCGTTTTTTAAATAACAAATATTCGAACCTCTACACCCTAGAATCAACCTGTATGCCAAAACTGAACTTCTTACGTTGAGTGGTTTGAGCAGGATCGTGATTAATCAGTGAGTCGGTCACTTAAGGATTTTATATATTAGTTTAGATAAAAGTTAACTTTACTTGATAATAAACAGATCATAGGTCTTTAATACAAAAGATATATTTTTACTGTTAGCAAAACATTTTCAAAAGTTACTGTTATAAAATTTCTCTGTTGAAACTGAGTAAACAAAACTCGAGTTTATAAAATGAAAACTTTTGTAGGATCCTGTTTAATTTCAGCACAATACAAACTGCTGATTACTAGTTTGTTTTGCCATTGTTAGATAAGCTTTTAGCGGTTAGTGAGATAGATATTGCTACTGGCCCGACGGGATTATAGCAAACATGAAAACAAATAATGTAGAAAAGTTTTGAATGTATCTCACTGAAAACTATTCGGGTTTTATAAAAAAATGGGGATTAAATTAAAGCTGATACTATTCATGAAATCCGTTATTTGGTAAAGGAAAGTAACCAAATATGGAATACCACTTTGTTTTTGTCTTATAGGCTTGGTGAATTTCAGTTGATTTCAACAAATTCCGACCGCAGTGCTGTATACGGGAAAAATCAGTTTATCTTTTCTACACTTCATTTATTTTATCACAATTTGTGAACATATGATTGTCACTTTTATACATCATTTCCTTGACATTATAAACAGAACATATTATATTAACAGAACGTCAACGGTTTTTTGTAGACGTATCTATTTTAAAAAAAAGTAAAGTGTTCTCGAATAGTTAAATTTAAATATTTTAAATAGTTTTTCTCTTTATTCTTTGTATTTTTTTGCTTCCTACGATGGAAAGAGATAAACTTTCCGAAACGTTAAGCATTTTTTTCTTTGTTGGGCAAATTTTTATTACTGTAAACATAACTTTTGACAAGCAGTGTCCGTTAAGGTTTAACGCAGAAGTGTTTACAAAAAATAACTATTATATATATGATTTCACAAAATTCCCACCGCAGCGCTGTCTACGACAGAAATCAGAAGTTTTCACTATGTATTTCACGCCGCACAATGGAGTATTAGCATGAAAAAGGTGATCGAAATTCGAAAAAGCAAATGTGTTTAAGATTTCCCAAAAAAGATAGATGATAAGTTAAATCATCTCTGCCATGAATGGCGTTGCTATGGGTGTGTTTAGTTGCATTCATTTGTTTCAACGAAACGTCCAAGTTGTTACTTCTCACAGATAAGAGGTAAATGGCTAAATTTTATGTTTAAAATTATAAATTGTTGTTGTTCTTGTGCTCCTTTTACGTTTATATTATTGTTTTGATTGAAAATGGCTCAGCAAGCCGCAGGTATATATTCTACAAAAACATATTATTTATTTTGATATTCTCTATACTAACGATTTTTTTGCAATTAAAAGTTAGGCGTTCAGAAAATTTGATTAAATTTGTGACATTTTTATTATACTTAGAGACTTAGTTGCGCATTTCGAAGAATTCAGCATATTGTCTATATACATTTTACTTAGTAAACATTGGGCTTTCATACAGTAAAATAAAATACTGCGACTTTTTGCGACTTTGCTGATAAAATGAGAAAAACATTCTTGGTTTCCTCTAATTTGCCAATCAGTGATATACTAATGCGAGGTGTAAACCGCGATGGCATTGTTGTGTACAAAGCGATCGCATTAGTGCCGTTAGCAGTATAGCACAATTTGGCATTAGTAGCGGCTTTAGTGGTATGGGCATTGGTCGCGGATCAGTCGTAGCATTAGTAGTATTAGTTGCGATATTACTACTGGCATTAGTGGCATTGACCGTGGAAACACTGGAACAGTGATTTTTCTTTCTTTTTTTAGAATCGACGAATTATCCTTTATTTTATTCATATCATTTCCTCTTTAATTGAAAATAGCAATAATTTATATAAGGTCTACATAAAAAAATTTCGATCAACTATCGGTGTCAAATACCCCACTGTGCGCCGTCTCGGTTACAGTTCATGTTGATCGCATTAAAATAATATCGAAGTTATGTGGCTTTATCATAATATTTATCTATTTTAGTTTTTTGTTAGTGCAGTTATTGAAACTATAAAACACTCAGGTACGAGGTTTGTGTGATGTAACGCTGTTTCGGGTAGTAGAAAATAAGTGAAAAAGAATTCGAACTAAGCGTCGTGTTCAACAACAAAGTCCTCCTACACTGGGTGCCTGCTCACCAAGGGATAGAAGGCAATGAAAAAGCAAATAATCTAGCTAGGAAAGGAGCGAACACTCCACTAACTGGACCAGAACCGTTCTGCTTTCCAAGTGGTAACCAACTCAAGGCGGAACTCAAGAACTTGGAAGATTCCATCCGCAACCTGGAATGGAAATCTTGCACTGGTCCAAGACACTCGAAGAAGTTTCTGAGGGCTTATGATCAAGAAAAATCACAGATCTTCCTGGGTCTGAGTAAGAACAATCTTCGGATTGTCACGGGGTTTTTAACAGGACACTGTCTCCTCAATGAACACCTCAGTAGATTGAAACTAAGAAGAAACGGCGAATACAGATTCTGTGGGGAAGATGGTGAAACACCAGTACACCTCATCACTGAGTGCGCCGAGACAACAACCATTCGTGCCATGAACTTTGGTACGACTGGTATTGGATATGGAGAACTACCCTCTATAAAACCGTCCAAGATACTGGCTTTTGTCAAAGCCCTGGGACTGTATGATGAGTTATGATTCAAGAAAGGGGGACACAATGGATCTGTAAGGTCGAAGTGATTAACCCCCCTCCCACTCATTCTAAATTCTAAATTCTAGTGCAGTTATTGAAACTATAAAACACTCAGGTACGAGGTTTGTGTGATGTAACGCTGTTTGGGGTAGTAGAAAATAAGTGAAAAAGAATTCGAACTAAGCGTCGTGTTGCGTTGTGAAAATTTCAAATATTAATAAAATTACCTAAAAAATGTTTTAACGCGTAAAGGAGGGCGTAACTAGGATGTTGTTGGGTGCAATAATATTCAATAACTCAACTTTCCTGAATATTCAGCTCTCCCGAAACAACTTTTTATAGCTTCGTAGTATCTCACACCGATTTGATCAAAAGCAAAAATGGATTCAAGCAGTTCGACGAAATAAGTAAGTAAACAAAGTGCTCATTACATAATCAAAAAATTAAATAGACATATACTATGAGAGGATAAAATATAAGTTGTAATATTAATGGTATACTTTTTTTAATCAACTAGTGATTAAAATAAATATCTTCTAAAATTATCATTATGTACCTTTAAAAAAATTCGTTATAGCCACTACCAAAACCAGTGCGTAAAACTATGCTTGCTACCGTAGTTGAACTTATTTAAATATAGAATCTAAAATTATAGAATTTTTACAAATTATAGCTCCTAACATTTGGTGATTCTTTACAAGATCTGGAATTTTTGATGAAGTCGAAGGAATATAAAGGATTTTTAAGGCTTGCCGTTGAAGGAATTCCCTCAAAAATTTCTGACAACACTGATCGTATTCGTTCCCGGGAAATGGAGATATTTCAAATTAAGGATACTATTCCATATTTGGTTATGTTTCTCTATATGTTTATGACGTAATGTGGTTTAAGACTTACCTCGTTGCACATCCACGTTGGTGCGAGACACGCCGACACGATGCTGAGGTTCTGGGAACGATTGATCCAGACCACGGACACCTGAGTGTTCTTCTGACCTATCCAGCCGGCGGAGGTCAAGTAGTAATCCCTGCGGGGAAAGGATTAGATTTTAGTATGCGAACGAGCCGGATCGTTAGAGGGATACACGGACAGAGATAGAGACTGGGAGGGTAGGGTAATTGAATATACAACAGTCGATAATGTGTTGCATTTGCATGCAACACGGAGTCATAGTTGCATGTACAGGGTGGGTCAAATTCGACGCTTTTAAAGGGATACACCCTTTTCTGTAGGATAGACGAAAACTAATATCAGTGTCTGGAGCTCATTTTTTATCAAAAACATGATGGTCAAAACCGCACATCGATAGCTGTTACCGTTTATGAGTTACGGGGTGTTTTTTAAAAATATGCATTTTTAACAAATCGCTGAAACTTTTTTTCTATGGAAAATTTCACACCTCTACTTTTCAACCAATAACATGCTTTAATGTTGACTAGTTACCATGGCAACTGAAAAAAATTCCGGAAATTTTTTCGAGGCGCCACGAAACTTTAGTGGAAATTTTTTGACAGTTGAAAAGGTAAACATAAGATCTACAATCATAATGTGAATGAACTACAATGTCTATATATTGAAATATTACCCATTTGAGTTTTAGCATTTGATGTAACTAAGGTAGGTAATATTTTTTATTTAAGGAAATATGTTAGATATACCTACATATGAATTTCTTCGAAATTGCCATGTTCTAAAAAATATAGTTCTGCCGCCTTTATTTAACTAAAGCTGGTATTTTTCTATTTAACGAAATATGATGGATGGAATGCACTTGATTTTGATTTTCGGGTGTTATCTGGTTTTATATTTTCAATTTCTTCTTTAATGACTTGTTGGTTTACTTTTCCAAATCGCGACATTTCGCTATACACTTCTTACTCTACGTACAGACGTTTTAAAACTAGTAATAGCTTAATGACAGAATCGCAAACAAAAATGACAAAACACATAATATGTCAAAAACATCAATACCTTGGCCAACTTAACGAATTGAAATTATTTTAAAATGTCATGTTGGATTAATATTTTTTTTTTTCAAATTTAGGTGTGAAATTTTCTTACCGAATACCACGCAAGCTTAAATTATTCCTGGAAATTTTCTTTCGGGCACGAATATTTTAGAAAAATTATCCCTCGTCTTCGACTCGGGATAATTTTCAAAATGTTCGTGCCCTCAAAAAAATTTCCGAAAATAATTTAAGCTCTTGTGATATTATAAGTAAAAATTTTGTATTTTTGTGAAAACATTTCCAAAGCACGTTTTTACGTAGACTTTAATGGTTTACGTGTAATTTTTTTAAAGTTAATAATTTAAGAGTTATCAACAGAAAAATTGATTTTTTATTGGGGACACCCTGTATATTTTTAATTAAGCGAAAATAACTTAAAATTACCTTTCCAAAAATATAGCACACTTGATATTTTGTTATAGTCCCCTTCGAAATACAGAATTTTTATAAGTTCGCCACTTTTAACTAGTAGGCTTTGAACCCCTTAATTGATGATCTGCCTAATGGAACTCGAAAACACATCTTTCCAGCAAGACGAGGCACAGCCCCAGAACGCTGAAGTTATCAGCAAATTTTTGCAGCCAATTGTGAGAATAATTGAATAGCTAACCAAGATCCCAACCGTTGGCCGTCAAGGCCGACGGACTTAGTGCCTGTTATCCTTAGTTAATTTTTTATCTTTGAGGAAGAATAAAGGTTCTTATTTTAAAATGGCCCGTATAATCTAAACAAGAATTAGAAGTACTTAGCGGTTAGGCGAGGGTATTTTTCACCCTCACTGAGTTAATGAATTCGTTTACACCTGTGCAAAATCTCATGTCTTGGTTTGGCTATTAATTTGTATTGTTATTAGATATAGTTTAAATATGTTAATGTTGTTAAATATAGTTTAAATAGTTATAAAATGCTGCACCTGTCATTGTAAATATTATTTTCGTTTTAATTGCTGCTCACAGTTAGAATTTTTTGGCATTACAGCCAGCGTCGTTCAAAGCCTACTTATTCAAAGAGGGCGAATTTTTAAGAACTCTACATCTCGAAGAGGAATCGAGCAAAATATGAAGTATGCTATATTTTTGGAAAGGTAATTATAAATTCTTTTCAACTAATTTAAAATATATAGGGTGTTCCATAAAAGAATCAAATTTTTTTGTTGATAATTCTTAAATTATTAATTTTAAAAAAATTATACTTAAACATAAAATATAAAAATTGAGTTATAGACACCGATATTATTTTTCGTCTATCTCCTATAGAAAAGGGTGTTTCCCTTTAAAAGCGTCCAATTTGACCCACCCTGTACAGTGTGGTCCAAGTTCGAAGAAGGTCAAATTATAGCAAACGAAGAAATATATTCAGAAATAACTGAAATATTGTAAAACTGTTTTTATTTTTTCTCCGTCTTTATTTGAATAGGTAGAACAGATTCAATTCAATAGATCATTATTGTCACTTTTTCCTTTTATAAGAGGGTGCAATTAAATGTCAAATGCGACGTTTCTTTTTCGAGATGTCATTATCAACTTTATGTTTCTAAATACAGGTTGGATTTACTTATTAGAATTTTTTCCCAAAGTTATACGATAAGTAGTTTCTGAGGTACAGCCGGCGTCCATTCTTAGTTGGCCACCCGGTACATGTTTTTTGAAACGCTCTGTATGTATCTTCTTGAGATATACTCTGTTTTTTTTCTCAGGTAAGATTTCGACAGACGATGACACAAGAAAAGCAGATGACGTCCCATACCAATCTATTTATTTTACTAAAAAAAGTTTCTAATAATTTTTAAGTTATCTATGGATGGGTTTAAATATAAATCCGTCATGCGTCGTGTCTTGTTGTTTTTAACCAGTTTTATTGGTTTATTTAAAAAATGACAGATCGTATTTCAATTTTATTGGTTTGACGGAACGATGAACGATAAACGGACGCCGATGCGTATGAACTCGCCTTTAGATTTTTGCCATTTTGACACTTGTCAAAGTCTTGCCAAATTATAGGTAATAATTTTGTGTCAACTTTTGTTAAATACCCTGCGTTTTGGAAGATGATGCATTTTGATTCGTATTATTACGTGTGTTTTGTGTCTTTTGAAGTCAAGTGGAGGAAAAATCGAGTGAAAATTAACTGTAGACCCAGAGCACAGTTTATGGTTAATACTCGCTGCCCAGGCAGAAAAAAAGATAAAGTTTGTATACCATTTCGTCGTAGATAAGTGCATCTCGTATATGGTAGAAGGATCAAACTAAACACATACTAAAAACTGGAGTAGCTGTAAAATATCGACATCACACGATAGGTAAATAATGGATTTTAGTACTGCAGAAAAATAATGTCAAAAGGTACTGGTTTAAAAAAATAAGATTAAAGTTAATTAATCAACCTTTAAGGTATAAAATTTGGTAGGTGTTATTATTAATAAAATAGTTTATTTTATTTACCTATGTTGTTTTATTTATTCCTGTGGAATATTACAAATTTGTATTTGTACATAAGTTATATTGATAAATATAATCATAAATGCGGGTAGTTTCATAAAGCTTGAAAGTAAATAATAGTTCTTTTTATATTTTTTGGTATGTAGTGTCTTGTTCTTGTTTGTTTTGTATTAACACATACCGTTTTTATTAAATAAAATAACTCGATTACATTTTTTCAATTTTATACAGTTTTTTTCACAATATTTTGAAGTAATCACTTGTCATCTTGTCAATCAAATTTTAAATATTTCCTGCAATGCGTTCCAGTTGTACCAACTTATTTCTTTGTAAAATAAAATAAACTACTTTGAAATTAAAATGACAGACACATCTCTCATTGTCAAGGATCTTCTCGTTGGACAGACTATACCAAACAATTGCTCATCATATATTACGAAATTATGAATTTATATCGAATTTTTGATTAGTTATATTTATCATAGTTTCAATTAACATTTACAACCGTTAAAATTCATTTATCCAGTACAGCCGAATTGTACGTAGTAAAATGTTATTCGGTTTGTTCCCCCGGATCGATATCCAGCTCTGGAATTACATATGTTCTGGCTAATTTCCGGCTAATTGTTTCGAATGGCGACTGGCACCGTTATCAGTGTGGTACACGGCAGATTGAACGCGTCGCGCTCGAATTAACTGGCCGCCAGTGGCTCCCTCTATAACCGATCAACTCACGCCTAAATTATTGTATTAAATCGAGCGAATTTGCCGATTATATCGATAGAATTTTGGCGAATTAATTGCAAGAAGGCAATAGAAAAAAGTATAATAAAATGAAATAATAAAGAAGTCACAGTGATTATACAGGGTGAGTCTTAAATAAGTGCAAATATTTTCAGGACTGGTACTCTCGATTTAAACTTCATGCGCAAGCGTCGGACCGTTGTAAACCATTTCTGACTGCTCTGAGAGTTTTTTTAGTGGGACATAAAGAGTGAGGCATGTTAATTTACTTACTGTCCTAATAAGGCCTTTGGTGGTAGAACTTCTTGAGGTTTATTAGTTAAATTTCCTAAATCCGTCACCCAGAGTTGCACTTGAGGTATAGGCGTACCGGGCTGCAAAAAAAATAGTATTTACAATATTCATAATTTATCACTCAAAACTTACTGTCGGATATCTAACGCTTCTAGAAGACGGGAAAGACATGGGTCTGTTGGATGCTTTTCCAGCAGCTAGTACGGTTTCGGTCTGAAACCATGGAAAATTTAGAATGCCTACGTCACTGTCGTTAAACGTGGCGTAGAGTAGATGAGTACCATCGTACGATGCCCAGAGGGCTTCTTGAGATTTAAGTACGTCCTCTGAAACAATAAACAACATAAAGTTAAAACTATTTTTTTAAAACGAATGTTAATCAATAGTAGAGTAATGTATAGCATATACTAATCTGGTACTAAATTACTAGATTTGTACTGAATTAGTACAAAATTAAAATACATTTTAGGGACACTAAGCGTAGGTACTGTAACGTAGCTGTGTAGACAGGGGCGGAAAAGTGAAATAGCAAAAGCGGTTCCACCGTTTCCACGGAAATCTCAAATAAAATAGTTCCAGCCCTAGCCACCAGGTGGTAGTGCAATTAATTTTTAGGTTAAGAAGTTGCTACTAGTTATTGCCAGATGGCGGTAAATCAGAATTTTTTTGTAGTTTCCATAGTTTCCAACGGCCATTGTCATATTATTGTCAAATTCTCAAAAAATATTGTCGTTGTCATTGCGCCAATCATAATATTATCAAATAAATGATTATCAAAACATTTTTCAAACTATAATTTGTTATATGTGTTTTAATTAGACAATTCCTTTTGTTTCTGGTCCTAAAAATATAATGTAAGTCTTTTATTTTTGCCATCATTTAAGTACCTATTTATATTTACTACATTTACAAAACTTCGGGCGTATTACGTCGGTCTTGTTTTATTATAATAAACGATGTTTAAATATTTGACTTATAAATAAGAACTTTAAATAATAAATAATATTTCACATGTTTGGCTTTAATTTTATTATTTTATTATAATAATTGTATATATTATACTGTTAAATCTTATTTTTTACACATCACAACGATACTTGTTATTAGGATTGTTGAATTTGTGTAAAAAATAATATTTAATAATCAAATTTAATTATTTTAGAGTAAAATTATTCAGTAAATACGCTCATTTAAAAAGCCCGCGCTTCGATTCATTTAAAACAAGCCCTACTCAATAGATGGCGCCATTTCTGTAGGACCATTTTTCAGTATGGCAGAGTCCGTTCTTTTTCTAGCTAGGTATATTCTTTGGTGTAGACAGCACAACAAATTACATTTGACAATGTTAAAATCATAGGTTGACAACTTAATTACTATCTTAATTGTTATCTTTGTTCAGTTTTGATACAAAATAGATGCAGATTTTCTTAAATTACTTAAAATCGGCTTATCCAAAATTGTTCAAATCTGATATGTGTATTCAGCCCCCATATGCAGACCTTTAAAAAAACTATCTTCTTAGCTGTAAAATTAACTACTGTATGATTTATTTTTGTCTAAATTCTTCTCGCTATTTTGCTGATAATTAGTTAGTAATTGTTAGTCTATGATTCAAATAGCTAAGATAAGAGTTCTATTCCAATATTCAATAAAAAATGTTTACGTATTTTAAAATAAATATTTTTCTCTCATGTATAAACGACAAGTAATCCCAGTACGGATGGGGATTACTGAAATTGTACAGACCTGACTCGCATCGAAAACCCTCAAAAACTATTAAAATGTCATTTTTAAAATTCATTCCTTAATAGGTTTTAGGAGAGGCTTTAAATTTCGACCATACATTTCTATACATACATACAAAATATATTTTTCAAAAATATAGAGATCTGATGCTCAGATACTCAGAGAAATGAAAATGGTATTTTGAAATTTTGAAATCATCCAACTATACATTTTTGATTTTGATACAGTTCATACAAAAAAAAACTTAGTCAGGTGATTAAGCTTGACCGGCACAGCGTTGTTACAAAATCTTTTAAGAAACAAAAATACATTAATAATAAATATATAAACAGATATTATTTACATCTATCAAACTTACTGAAAATATTCTAATAAAGTTGCAATGAGTTTTACGGCTGTTAAGCCTAGTAATCTTGTACCTTCGCATTAAAAGAGGTTCTAAAAGAACAATATTCTACTACAAGGTCTGCTAGTTAACATTTTCAACCAAAAACTCGTCATACAAAACTAAAGTGTCAAAACGAATGACAATTTCAGAAAATAAATAAATATATGCGGCAACTTAACATTTTTTACAGCAGAATTCCACCGCATTAATTCAGTATTAATTATTTAAAGAATTTAAGTATTTTTCGTTACATTTTGATAAACTATATCGCTGATAAAATTATATTGACAATAAAGCTCCAAAATAAATGTTATAAGTCAATGATTCCGATTTATACAAGCCAGATTCCTTAAACTCTATTATATATTCAACAGGTAAGAGCTGTCAGTTTGATGCTACTGGATTTCGTAGTACAATGCCTTTCAGTTAGCTTGGTGTAAGCACGCTTCAGCCCCGAGGTTGTTACGGTCAAGTTTGAAGAGAACTTGTTGATGTTTTGAGGATGAAAGGTGAAACTATAAAGTCGTTTTTAAAAAAGAATAAACAGAGAGAATTGGTAAAAAGCATTTCTTTGAAGAACGTCATTCTTTTGTTGCAGTGCAATTGCAACTCTAATTCTTTTGTTGCAAAATTGCAACAAAATAATTAGAATTATGGCTCTAGATAAGTATTTGACAATAAAATTAATTGTTCTAAAAAGGTAATGTTGTCTGTTCTTTTTTAATATTATACAGGGTGAGTCTTAGATAAATACAAATATTTCTAGGGGTAGTATAATTCGACCCCAGAAACATGACTGTACTATTATAAGTTTTTTTGCAAAAAAAAATAAATTTTGAAAATTTGGAATTTTTTGAAAAAAAATTAGATTTTTTTAAATTTTTAGTTAAAAAACATGATATCTTAATAATATGGCAACTTAGGTAAATTTACAAAAAAAAACCGATAAACGATCCAGTATTTTATCAAAATTTAAGTAAAAACATATTTTTTAAATAAAGCATTTTTTTTAATTTTCAAAATAAAATAACTCACAGTAAAGAAAAGATAAGTTTCTTTTATGGAGATCTGCCAGCCCTGAAAATATCTGCAGCTTTTTTAAGACTCACCCTGTATACAAATTTAAAATACAGGGTGACCTCTCATATGACGGCGACGCGGAGACTCCAAGGAAAACGACAGTTTGTATTTGAAACTTTGAATAAGAAGACTAAGGAAGGAGCATAATGCTATCCATGTATTAATGCATGGTGGGCGGAAAAGCCACCATAAAAGCTCTGTAGGGTGGGGATCCTTGACAGTTCTGTTTGACGATTCATTTGACACATTTGAATTTGATTTGAAATTTTGTGGATTTGTCAGTCTTTACGGAGCTTATTTTATGTTATTTATTATTTATTCTACTACTGATAGTTGTATAAAGGTAGTAAATCTAGATGGAAATTGTGGCAGAACTTAAATTAACAGTGACACTATCGCGATTTATCGAAAAGACTCTAAAATAGTTGGTTGTGTAGCGTGCGGTAGATCTCGGCAAAAATTGAGTGAAATAATGGAACAACTTTTCGCTAGTAAGTGACTATATAATATACATACGTGTAGTAAACCGATCATTTATGAAATTCACTTAAATTAACTAAATTATATATTTTTCTTGCATTTTAGCTTTTATTTATTACTTGTCAAAGATTAGATGTCAAAGAATTTAGATACGTTAATTTGACTTACCTGCTTCAGTAGCGTATCAGATGTTTGTGTTAATAAATACTTATTATAACTTATCTATTTTTATTAGAATTATATATTTTTATAACAATTTTAATAACTACCAACATTTATTCACAACGTAAAATAAAACAACAAATTATTGAGTCTACCCCACGTCTACCCTACATCATAGTTTTACATTTTTTAAATAAAATTAGAACGACACTGGTAAACCGGAATTTAAGTCGGCCATATTTGAGGCCCATCGCGGTGTACCTAAGATTTTTGATATGCTCCTTCCTTAGTCTTCTTATTCAAAGACTTGAAATGAAATTCTGTAAAATATATTTATTGTAGTCTTCTACCTTATAAACTCCCTGTATACGTAGACTGGATCAGATTACCTATACCAGATTTTATCTAAAACCTATATAAATATTACCTTGATACAACCAATCGGGAATCCCATTATAGACAACGTCAGGCTGACCGGTAAACGTCAGCTGCGTATCCGTTTCATCCTCTGGGGATCCCCGGTAGTAGATGTTATTATTGAACACAATTAACAGCGACGTGGTGTCTCCCAGCCAACTGACGTATTGCAATCTTTCCGGCTGAGCTTTCGGCGAGGACTCCAACCGGACAGGTATGTGATGGCTGAAACAAATGTCAACATAATAATTTCCTGTTTAGGTGTATTCATTTGTCGTCTAAATGGATATGACAAAAATTGATAAGTACGACATTTAATAAATGTGTCTCATAGAAAGACGTGTTATGTACAGGTTGAGTCAACGATAGAGTAAAGTTCATTATCTCATTTGTTTTGACGTTTACGAAAAAATGTTAAATACAAAAGTTGTAGAAAAGGTCAAGATACATATTTTAAAATTACTAGGGAGTATACAGAGTGCTTTAAAAAAAGTGTAGCGGCACAAAAAACACCCTATTTTTTATTTTATTTTTAGATTCTGCGTAAAATTATTTAACTTTTTTATGTGTTCTGTAATAAGAAAACTTTCAGGAAACCGACAGAAACGGAACCTAAAACCATAACCAAGGTAAGCAACGGAATACATCCTTATTTTTTACAACCAATGATGCAGGAATACGACTAAAATATACATATTTTAGAAAAGACCCTGTATATTAGTTTAAAAAAATTAATCAATTGGACAAACACAATTTAAAAGTTACATTTTTACTCGTTTTTCTTGTTTTTTTTTGAAAATTTCACACCTCTACTTTTCAACCAATAACATGCTTTAATGTTGACTAGTTACCATGGCAAGTGAAAAAATTTCCGGAAATTTTTTCGAGGCGCCACGAAACTTTAGTGGAAATTTTTTGACAGTTGAAAAGGTAAACATAAGATCTACAATCATAATGTGAATGAACTACAATGTCTATATATTGAAATATTACCCATTTGAGTTTTAGCATTTGATGTAACTAAGGTTGGTAATATCTTTTATTTAAGGAAATATGTTAGATATACCTACATATGAATTTCTTCGAAATTGCCATGTTCTAAAAAATATAGTTCTGCCGCCTTTATTTAACTAAAGCGGTATTTTTCTATTTAACGAAATATGATGGATATACACTTGATTTTGATTTTCGGGTGTTATCTGGTTTTATATTTTCAATTTCTTCTTTAATGACTTGTTGGTTTACTTTTCCAAATCGCGACATTTCGCTATACACTTCTTACTCTACGTACAGACGTTTTAAAACTAGTAATAGCTTAATGACAGAATCGCAAACAAAAATGACAAAACACATAATATGTCAAAAACATCAATACCTTGGCCAACTTAACAAATTGAAATTATTTTAAAATGTCATGTTGGATCAATATTTTTTTTTTCAAATTTAGGTGTGAAATTTTCTTACCGAATACCACGCAAGCTTAAATTATTCCTGGAAATTTTCTTTCGGGCACGAATATTTTAGGAAAATTATCCCTCGTCTTCGACTCGATAATTTTCAAAATATTCGTGCCCTCAAAAAAATTTCCGAAAATAATTTAAGCTCTTGTGATATTATAAGTGAAAATATTAATTCTCTGTTTATTCATAAACTGATGCACGCGACTTTACATTATCCTTTGTCATTAATTTTCCAGATAAGTGATTGTTATTCGAAAGAAAGAGCCCCGAGCCCTAATCCTTTGCCGTTATAAATAAGGTTCACACAGGAAATTACGGTCTACAATTATTTTTTCGTTTTAAATGCAAGATTCTAATCGCCAACGATTAATTTTAGAACGACTCGGGAATAGTTTTAGGATTTTGCATAATGGTTTTGGTAGAACAAGCATTCGTTATTTCTCTAAGGAATATAGATAACGGTCTTTTAGAATTAATCTGTTATGCAAATAAGGCAACAACAAGTTTAAAATAGAATCGTATGTACAATCTACCAAATAAACTTTTCGACACAGCGTTACACACTTATACATATTTTCTTATAATCAAAATTGATAAAAAAGAAAACAAAAATAAATTAATTATAAATATATAATCAGTTAATATTTACTTCAACAAAACTCACCTCCTTAACAGCACTTAACGGACTTAAAGAGCCATTACTACCGCTTTCCAGTTCAAAATATTCTAATAAGGTTGCGAAGAGTTTATTTGCAACGACTATTAAGATTTCTGCTCAACTTTCGTTTAGCTGAAATCTGTTATATAAAGAATGACTTCATATATGCGGTCTAGAAGGAGTTAGGAGTACAAATATACAAAATTTTTCCTGTGGAAATGCGTCATTTTCATTTTTCGGACTTCAGTATAGCCGAAATCTGTTACATCAAAACTAGTCTTCGGGGTGTGTCTTAGACATTTTTCTAAACATAAAAACACAAAAAAGTGTCTGCGGAAATTTTTTATTTTTATTTGACAAAAAAAATGCTTTGACTTTAGAATAGCCGAAATCAGTTACATGAAAAATGAACTTATATTGTTTTTTTACGAGCCTCTACGAGCAAAGAACTACAAAAAAAAACGCGACCTCGATTACGTAACTAAAAGTTCAATTGGTATCGCTTATATAAAAAACGTTTTGTTACCTAATTTCTATTTAATATCGTTAATCTTCGAGCAGTCACTGATTGTTTGACCTTGGGTGTACTGTAAATTATGTTCAGTTATGTCGCGTGCAAGCCAAGTCGCAGAGAATGTATGTTGCCCTGCATTAAATCTCACCAGGCAGGGAATTAATTTTCTTAATTGATACATCTTTCACCGACTGAATCGATGGCTAGAAGTGAAAGACAAACTATAGTGAAAGACAAACTATCTTTTCGAAATAAAAAGAGAGATTTTCTAGAAGAAGAGAAAAAATAGAGAAAATATTATAAATATTATTAGTTATAAGTTCTGTTAAAGAAGCAGTACATCTTGTTCTATCTAAGTTTTTTTTTGTATCTTCCTTACTTTAGTGAGTTGAGTATGACTGGTCAAAGTTTGAGGAACTAAAGCTTATCAATTTACACAAAGTTGTTTACATAAACTTTGTAAGTCAAAACGAGATATTACCTAGTGAAATTCAGCACCTTACAATAGAAAACTTGCTGAACTTTCTGAAACAACTAAATGAAAGGAACAATACCACTTACATAATCTGTTTGTCCATGATACACGTTTATTATATGTTTAATTTTTTTGTCAAATTTGCCTATGATAAAAATATATCTTTAGAATTTGTATTTTATGCTGTCTATAACATTCTGTGCTAGTATTTTCAAAGTAAAATAATAATAATGGACATCTTTATTTCTATAATAAAGGAGTGCCAGCCGTATGTTTTCGGATCCGGAACTAGAAGAACTAGAGGAACTAAATAAAAGACTAGTTTACGTAGGGATCGGTCAGCGCGATCGTAGCCCGATCCTAGGCAGGAGTGGGGAGTGCCAGCCGTATGTTATCGGATCCGGACCTAGAAGAACTAGAGGAACTAAATAAAAGACTAGTTCAGGGGAAACTATTCAGTCGGCAGATCCCAGATATAATACAAGACGACGACGATGGATTCGGATTCATCGGAACTAGAACTAAAGTACTAGTTCCTCCGAAGGAACTAGATTTCCCACCTCTAGGACTAACTTCTGAAAAACCGACTGGCTTTTGTCAAAGTCCTGAGACTGTATAAGAAGTTATAACTCAAGAAAGGGGGACACAATCGATCTATAAGGTCGCGTTGATTAACTTTCTCCCATACAATCTACAACGCCAGTAGTGTTTACATAAAAAATAACACAAATATTATGATTTATACCTTTACGCAGAGATTATTTGAAAAAAAGCAGGAACAACTTTAAATCTAATCGCGAAAATGATTCGTGACCGATCATAAACAAAAGCCGAAATCGACAACAAGTTGCCCTGAAAGGCCCTAAATTATTCCGTTCCGTATTTGCCCGGTTGTCAGATTTGTTTAAACGGTTTCGAGCGGTGAAATACTACAACAGCGATAACATCGTCGCGTGATAGGACACACAGAGGGAAACTTTCAAGCGGTTATGGAATTAATAAGCGTCATATTTACCCTTCTCTATGCCTCCACGTCTTGGATTTGGCTCTATATATCATTCGGCGTGCATTGTTTCACGTACGCGAGTCTTGTTAATTGAGAGATTTAGGAAATCGTTTGCTAAATTACATTATTATTATAGTACAGAGATAATACAGTGGTGAATAACCTTGAGTGGGAATCCTCCAACGGTCGAAGGAATTTGATGTACATAAGTAAGAACAATCTTTGGATTGTCATGGTATTTTTAACTGGAAACTGTCTCCTCAATGAACCTCAGTTGATTAAAGCTAAGAAACAATATGACTAATGCATATTCTGTGAGGAAAATGGGGAAACATCAGAAGACCTCATCATTGATTGCGCCGAGACGATAACTGTTCATGTCATGAACTTTGGTACGACTGATATCGGAGATGGAGAACTAACTTCTGTAAAACTGTCTCAGGTACTGGCTTCTTTGAAACCCCTGAGACTGTATGATGAGTTGTATGATAACTAAAGAACTGATTGTATGATAACTCAAGAAAGGGGGACACAATAGATCTGTATAGTCGCGTTGATTAACTTTCCCCATCCCATACAATCTACAATTTATAATTTAATCTACAATTTACACAATAAAATGTTTCGAAATTTGCCTTCCAAAATATTGTTAAGATAAGCAGGCCTTATACAACAATTGATATTTTAAAATCCTAAATTGTAAAAATCCTTTTGTGTTTTCTTTAACTCTTCCTTATTAATGACTTTCCTTTAAATTTGCATTCCCAGCAAACAAATTACTAAGGACTGAAAAAAAATACTAGCAGTATTAACTTACACAAACAAGAGTTCTCGAATTGAATAAAATAACGACCCTTATCTATCTTCCCTACAAAGCTTTTAATTTATTCTCCTTAGAGTGAGACTTTCTTTATCTTTTATTTTCTCTTCGTTTTCTGTTACTTTAAACTAAGGATGTACCATACGAAACCATTTTCCATAGTATCGATACTTGCGGATTTCTTGCATCCTGTATACGTGGCCAGCCCATCTTAAGCGGGATTTAGTAATTGTATGATCGAAAAAAAACGGCGTCCAGTTGGCTGGGAAATGACGATCGATGACATTTTCCC